AGGGGAGGGGAGGGGAGCACTCACACAACACGTTCACAGCCCCTCATACACTGACACACACACACACACACACACTGATAGACACCGTCACGCTCGTACTCACACACACACAATAATACAAGAGTCCAACATACTTACAATGTTTTTAATACAACTATGTGTTTTAAAGTCCAACAGAAATCTTGTCTGGAGGCTGCGAGCGAGAGACGCCATCTCGCTCCCTCGACCCCGTGCTCTCCAACCAACCCCTCCCCAAAAGTTGCATCAATGATTAATTGAAAGGCCAAAGCCATTCCTCCCAATGTAGGCCCAACCACTGCAACATTCTCGTCTTTCTACCTTAATTTTTAAAACTAAAAGTGCCCCACCACAGGTCTCCCAGCGCCCCCAGGTGTCCCGGCCCCCAGTCCACCCCCCCTTCACCCTCCTTCCCGCTGACCAAAAATACATCCATAATATACAACTTGTGCTGATCTGTTGCCGATAATACAACACATGACATTTACACGGAGCCTTTCACGTCGGGAAGATATCCCAAGGCACTGGACAGTCAGGGATTTGGACCTGAGCTGGGGGTCGGGATCGGGGGGTAGAGGGCGGGGAGGGGGGAGGAGAGTGACCGAAGGCACGGTCCAAGAGGAGGATCTTGAGACGTGCCTTGAAGGAGGTGAGGGAGGGAACGAGGTGAAGGGACGGGGATGGTGGAACGGGCCATTGACCGACAGCGACAACAGTCAACCCCATTCCCATCTCTCCCTCTCCTGTCTTTAATTTGTTTTCTATTCCCCCCCTCCCTCGCCTCCTGTTCAGTTTCCCTCCCACCACCACCATTCTTTTAAAAAAGCATTCCTGTTCACCCTCCCCACCCCCACCCCTTCGATCCTTATCCATCCAATTATTTTTTTTTTGTTGTTGTTGTTGTTGAGGCCATTCAGCCCCTGGAGCCTGTTCCCCCATTCTATAAGATCATGGACAATCTGTACCTCAACTCCAATTACCTGCCTTTGCCCCTTGGGCCCCCGACCCAACAAATATCTCTCCACCTCAATCACTCGGTTCCACCAAATCCCTTTCTCGCTGTTTGTCTGAGATGGCGTTTTGATTTTAGGAGTTACTGAGGAAGTGGTTAGAAATGAGGGAAAGAAAGGGAGTCTCTAAACCACACCACAGTTCCACATAATCCCTGCATTTAATATTGCCCCTCATCACGTCATTCAGACGTCCCAAAGTACGTCACAGAACACACTGTAAAGTGAATTGACTGTATATTTGTGGGCGAACGCGGCAGCCAATTGCGCACAGCAATGTCCCACAAACAGTCGTGGATTGAAAATGACCAATTTATTATTATTTGTAGTATTTCTTTTAAGGGATTTATTATCTCCAGAAAAGTGATCCGCCAATCGGTAAACAACCGGGTTCCTGCTCACTGCTGTTACACAGAGTAAGGAATGTTTCCTAAGGTTTCACCCGGCGAGGAATCAAACCCACGTGAGGCGAGGGCTCTAACCGCTGAGCTACAGGACTCCACTGGTTCAGTTTGGAGGGTGGGGGGGGAGGGGGGGTCTCAGGTCAGCGGCCAAACCGGGAGCAAAGCGTTTAACGGGACATGGTGAGCCTGCAAGCAGAAAAATGTGATGCCATGTGATTATGAGATCAACTGAATGATTTCCCCCCCCGACCCCTCCAACTGAACGTCAGTAAGACCGAGACCCTCCTGATTGGCTCACGCCAGCGCCTCCGCACCTCAACCGTTGGCAGCATCAGCCTCCACGCTGCACACTCACCCTCACTGAGCCAGTCAGGAACCTGGGGGTCTTGTTTGACCCTGAACTGTCCTTTCTCCCCCACATCCGCGCCTTGACCGGCACTGCCTACCACCACCTCCGCAACAGTGCCAGACTCCGCCACTGCCTCACCCCTCAGGCCCCCAAACCCTCACCCACACATTCGTCACCTCAAGGCTCGATTACAGGAACTCACTCCTCATCGGCCTTCCCAACACTTCCCTTCACAAGTTGCAGATCATCCAAAACTCTGCAGCTCGTGTACTCTCACTCACCAGGCTCCGTGACCCCATCACTCCCACCCTCGCCCGACCCCATCACCCCCACCCTCGCCCGACCCCATCACCCCCACCCTCGCCCGACCCCATCACTCCCACCCTCGCCCGACTCCACTGGCTCCTCATCCCCCAGAGCTAGAGTTCAAGATCCTCGTCCTCACCTTTAAGGCCATCCCTGGCCTCGCCCCCTCCTATCTCTCTGACCTGCTGACTCCCTACCAACCCGCCCGCTCCCTCCGTTCATCGGGCTCCGGCTGCTCCATGTCTCCCGCCCGACCCGCCCTACCATCGGTGGCCGAGCTTTCAGCCTCTCTGCCCCCACACTCTGGAACTCCATCCCACGGTCCCTTCCCCTCGCTGCCTCCCTCGCCTCCTTCAAGGCCGGTCTCAAGACCCTTCTCTTCGACTATGCCTTTGGTCTCCCTCCCACCTCTCTGCCTTCCTTCACCCCTCCCCCACCCCTCCCCAATGCTCGGGCCCAGACACCTGACTGTTCAGTGCTTTGGGACGTCCTCCCGACGTGAAAGGCGCTCTATAAATGTCATTTTTTTGTTGTTGTTGATTGCTTTTTCTGGGGATAATAATTCCTCTAAACCAAAATGAAAATAAAAATTAATAACTCGGTCACTCAATCCATGGGTGTTTCGCCCATAAAATATCCAGTCACTACACTTGTGAAGCATTTTGGGATGTCTCAACGACGTGATGGGGGGCTGTATAAAGTAATCAAAGGATTATTATTATAATTATTATTCAGAAGCAAGTGTAGAAGACGGGTGTTAGAGACTGAATGCTCACTGAGTGTCCATCTCTGTCTGGTGCTCAGTGTTCAGGAATCTGCTGTCCATTTAGCTGATAAATAACTCAGTGGTTTATTTGAACGTGTGGCCAAGTGGGAATGTGATGGCAGAGAAGGTTATAAAATCATACTATTATTATACAGAGTGCCTTTCAGGTCCCAAGGCTCCTGTTCCTGTGTTTGTAACTAGAGGGCGACAAATTGATTGGCATTTGCAGAAGGCAATGCAATGCAATGCTGTCTGTCTGTCTGTCTGTGTCTGTCTGTCTGTCTGTGTCCCTGAGAGTGAGTGAGTGAGTGTGAGAGGGGATCACTGGGAGGACTTTCAGTCAAACCCAAACTCACTCACTCACACACACACACACACACAGTGTGAGCAGTGATTGGGAGCAAATCCATTTCAAGTGAGTGAACTCCATCAACATATTCTCTTAGATCTGTGTGTGTGAGACTGTGTGTGTGTGAGTGTGACTGTGTGTGTGTGTGTGTGACTGTGTGTGTGTCTGTGTGTGTGTGACTGTGACTGTGTGTGTGTGGTGTGGTGTGTGTGACTGTATGTGTGACTGTATGTGTGTCTGTGTCTGTGTGTCAGGAGAGAGGGGACAATCTTTTTACTTTCCCCATATCATTTTCTGGTTAATTTATTTGAGTTTCCACCCCCAGTGTGTGTGTGTGTTTGCTCGAGAGAGAGAGAGAGAATGAAACAGAGCGAAAGGCTGAGACAGACGAAGAAAGATTGAGAGAGAGAATTGTTTTTAACTGTTGTCGGTAACGTTGGCCGCCGTGTGTTTTGTTGGTAAAACAACAACAACAACAACAAGATTGCATTTGTAGAGCGCCTTTCACGTCGGGAGGACATCCCGAGGCGCTGGACAGTTGGGTCAGGACCTGAGCATTGGGGGGAGATGGTCAGGGTGAGGGGAGCGGAGGGAGCGAGGAGGGGGGGAGATGGTCAGGGTGAGGGGAGGGAGGGAGGGAGCGAGGAGGGGGTACGGAGTCGAGGGGGGAGCTGAGCTGGCATTGCCGTTGAATACCACGCTGGGTTTGGATTAATTCAGGCTAACACACAGCATCTTTTGTTTCATATTTAATTTTATTTATCTGCCGTTTTAACTCCCGTTCAACTATTTTTTCTTTTGGCCCCGATCTGGAAGCCGCTCTTTTTTTAGAATACAACTTATTCTGAACAACAACAAGTTGCATTTACACAGCGTCCCCTCACGTTGAATGTGAGCTAAACGGACTCCCAACGGCAGATACATAGAATTAAATATGGAACCAACTGTGACCCGCTGTTTCCTCTTGAGAATCAATCCAAACCCAACTTGGTTTTCAACTGCAGCGTCCTAGAGCGCTTCACGGTAACGGTCACGGAGCCCGACTCCGAGCCAGAGGAAGGCGGGAGGTGACCAGAGGCACGGTCGAAGAGGAAGGACTTCAGGTGCGACCTGAAGATGGGGAAGGAAGGGGCGAGGCCGAGGGCTGGAGGGAGAGAGGTCCAGAATTTGGGGAGTGGTGGCTGAAATGGTGAATGGTGGAGCGGAGGGGGCAATGGACAAACAGGAGGCTGGTGCCAGTTGAGCGGAGGCAGCGGGTTGGAGGTTGGGGGTAATCAGCGGAGAGGGCATGAAGGGATTTGAAGACAAATCTGAGGATCTTGAAATCAAAGGGCCCCACAGCATAGAGACAGCGCTTGTCAATGTCACAAACAACGTCCTCTCTCTCTCTCTGTGACCAGGGCTCCCTCTGCCTCCTCGTCCTCCTGGATCTCTCTGCCGCGTCCGACACAGTCGCCCAGGCCAACCTCCTCCCCAGCCTCCGACCCTACCTTACCCCAGAGCACCCGAAACCCTCGTGTATGTGTTTGTCACCTCCCGCCTGGATTACTCCAACCCCCTCCTCGCCGTCTCCCCGGCTGCACACGATCAGCCCATTCAGACTCTGCCGCCCACATACCGACCCCGACCCAACTCCACACCCACATCTCCCCATCTCTGGCCCCGGCTCCACTGGCTCCCCATCACCAACACATCCACTTCAACATCCTCACTCTCGTGTTCAAACCCCTTCACTCCCTGACCCCTCCCTCCCTCCCCGACCCCCTCACTCCCCAATCCACCACCCGGGGCCTCCGCTCGACTGGCACCGGCTCCTGCTCATCCCTCACACCCTCCGCCCCACCATCGGAGGTCGCACTTTCAGCCACGAGACCCCAAAACTCTGGAATACTCTCCCTCAATCCCTCCGCCTCACCCCCTCGCTCTCCTCTTTCAAGTGCCGCCTGAAAACTTCCCTCTTCGACGTACGTACGGCCATCTCCCCCTCCCCCCCGGCTCAGAGTCAGGCTCCGCTGTTGTTAAGCTCCGAGGCGCTGCCCTGCGTGGAGGGCGTTATATAAGTGCTAGTTGTTGTTGTAGATGGTGGTGGTGGTGATAGGGTGTCAGCCTGGCTCAGTACTGTAGCGTTCTCGCTTCCCGAGTCACGAGGTTTGGGGGTTTCCCCCCCACCCCCCCAAACGTCAGGACTTTGAACTGCGGACTGACGTAATGCTGTGGGGAGAGAGAGCACCACATTGTCAGAGAGGCCGTCCTTCGGATGAGATGTTAAACCAAGTTCCCCACTGGGGCTCAGTTCAGGTGAATGTTAACAGGTGACGCTGTTGGAAAAAGAGAAGAGAGTTCCTCTCTCTTGGTGTCCTGGACAGCGATCGCCCAGGTACAGTGGTTGGTCACTTCACGGACACAGTGGTTGGTCACTTCACAGATGTTGGATGTTTATCTGCGCAAATTGGCTGCAGCATTCACCTACAAATTAGTCATTAGGCTTTACAATAAAACGCTGAAGTGCTTTGAGATGATGGTATTATAATAATAATAATAATAATAATAATAATCCCGGCGTTTGATACAGCGCCTGATCACGTCTTCGAGACGCCTCAAAGCGCTTCACAGGGTACACTGTAAAGTGAATTGACTGTATTTTGTGGGCGAAACGCGGCGGCCGATTGCGCACAGCGGCGTCTGTCCCACAAACAGCCGTGGGTTGATGTGACTAAATTATTAATTTTTATATATTTTTTGAAGGGATTATTATCCCCAGAAAAGCGATCCAACAATCAAATAATAACCAGTTTCCTACTGTACTGCTGGTAAACAGGCGACTGTGTGCGGTGGTGTGGGTGTGGGTGAGGGCTCTAACCACTGAGCTACAGGACTCCAGAGGACAAAGCCAAACTACTGATCAGCCGTTTTTAGTCAATTTACAAGTGAAACATGTTCATTTGGTTGCAAAGTTTTTTCTGTGCGGACGTGTTTCCTGAATAACCGCTCTACCCGCTCGAACAGTGCCGATGTTTCTTGTATCGTTTGCAGACTTCAGGAGCCGAGTCACTAAACAAACCCGTCCACTGTGCAAACTCCTGGCAACGCTCCCCGTGTGTTTAATCAGCATTCGACCGCCCACACGTTCTGAACTTCAGTGAGTGGGAACCCGGTGGTTAGTCGATTGGAGGATCCCTTTCTGGGAGTAATAATCCCTCCCAAAAATTTGTGGTCACCCAATCCATAACTGGGTCACTGCTGAACGCAAATTGGCTGCTTCATTTTGCCCACAAAATATACAGTCACTGCACTTTATTATTCTGTGAGGCGCTTTGAGACATCTCAACGACATGATAAGGCGCGATATCAAATGCAAGGATCACTGATTATCAACGTAAAATTTTTGTTGCTATTTGAAGGTCAGAACATGGATATTAAATATATAATAATAATTCTGGCATTTGATACAGTGTCTTATTACGACATCGAGACGTGTCAAAGCCAATTGTGCACAGCGGTGGCCCACCGGGGGGATGGAGGGCAGGTAGGGTGTGGGTTGGAGGACGACTAAAGGTGCGGTCGAAGAGGAGCATCTTGAGACGGGCCTTGAAGGAGGCCAGGGAGGGAGCGAGGTGAAGGGACTGGGATGGGGTTCCAGAGTGTGGGGGCACAGAGGTTGAAGGCTTTGAGATGCTTCTTTGTGGCTGATGCTGAATCTGGGTTTCTGCCCCCCGCTCCCCCCCCCCCCCCCTCCTCCCCTCAGACTTGCTGACAGACAGACAGAGGGAGAGAGTGACTGACAGACTGACTGACTGATGGGCAGCTCTCCGGGTGAGCAGACCAACACCAAGCCGGGCAGCTGGAATGTCCTCCAGGGCCGGCTCCTCCAACGCTACGAGAACCAGCCCTGCCTGGCCTGCCTGGCCGGCCTGTACAGCTGTCAGTGGAGACGCTACCAGCGAGCCAAGACCCCACCAGGGGCATTCTGCTGCAGCAAGGTGAGGGGAGTGGGGGAGGGAGGGAGAACACAAGAAATGCGAGACGAAAGAACACCAAGGTCCATCCAGTCGCCTTCCACTATCCTGGCAGTCACTTGTACATGTCATGTCCCAAACTATACACTGAATAATAGTGTACAGGAGGGATCAACAACAATAACAATTACATTTATAGAGCGCTTTTCACGTCAGGAGGATGTCCCAGAGGAAAGTGGGGGACAAAGGGAGGGGGACGGAGGGAGTGAGGCAGAGATGGAGGGAGGGAGGGAGGGAGGGATTTATGACTAAGTAAATTGGGTATTTTCTCACTGGAAAAGAGAAGATTGAGAGGTGACCTGATTGCTGTCTTTAAAATTCTAAAGAGGCAAACAATATAGGTCATACCGGGCTGTTTCAACTTGTCCAGTGAGCGACTGGTGAACCTGTGGAACTGGCTCCGTGGGGAGACACACGGTTGAAGCAGGAAATGTTGATTCTTCCAAACACAGATGAGATAGTTTTCTTTTAGGAAATCACATGATGGGATACAATACATAGGGAGTTTGGGACATATGTGTATATGACCGCCAGGCAGGTGGAAGGCAAACTAGATGGACCGTGGTCTTTTTTTGTCCAGCATTTCTTCTGTTCTTATGTTATGTTCTTATGAGGGACGTGATGAAGGCATGGATGAGGGTCTCGGCAGTTTGAGGGGTGAGTCAGTGGCAGATCTGGGCGATGTTGCGGAGATGGGGAAAGCAGAGCGGATCATGGCACAGATACAACAACAACAACAAAATTGCATTTATACAGCGCCTGGCATGTCAGGAGGACAACCCAAGGCGCTGGACAGACAAAGTAACAGACCCGGGCTGAGGGTGAGACCGAGGGACTGCGGGATGGAGTTCCAGAGGGTGGGGGCAGATTGGCAGAAGGCCTGCCCACCGATAGTGGGGCGAGCGAGGCAGGGGACGTAAAGCAGGCCAGAGCCCACTGAGTGGAGGGAGCGATCAGGATGGTAGGGGGTTAGAAGGTGGCAGGGGTAGGGGAGAGCAAGACCATGGAGGGCTTTGAAGGTGAGGACCAAGATCTTGAATTGTATCCTCTGTGTGATGGGAAGCCAGTGGAATCCGGTGAGGATGGGGGTGATAGGGTCACCTGGAACCTGGTGCAGTAGAGGACACGGGCTGCAGAATTCTGGATGATCTGCAGCCTATGGAGAGGGGAGTTGGGGAGGCGAGCAGGGAGCTTGCATAGTCAAGCCTGGATGTAATGAAGGCGTGTATGAGGGTTTCTGCGGCCTGCAGTGGGGTAGAAAGGACAGTTGAGCGTCAAGCAAGATGCCAAGGTTCCAGACTGGCTTTGTGAGGTGGAGTGTGTGTCTATGGTGATGCTGTTAGTACCTGAGATGTGGAGGCGCTGAGAGGAGCCAATCAGGAGAGGATCGGTCTTGTCTGCATTCAACTGTAGAAAGTTAGCTCTCATCCAGGCCACGTCCACACTTGCCGGCCTCCCGAACTCTTCCCTCCACACGATGCAGATTATCTAGAACTCTGCAGCTCATGTCCTCTCCCGCACCAGACTCCGTGACACCCATCAGCCCCACCCTCGCCCGCCTCCAATGGCTTCCCATCCCTCAAAATCCTCATCCTCGCCTTCAAAGCCCTCTACAAACTTGTTCCTCCCTACTTCTCTGACTTGCTCACCTTACCCACAACCCAGTGCCGCCGATGGAGTGGTTCCAGCCTTCTGCTTGTCCCCTCGTGCCCTCTGTTCCACCATTAGCAGCCAAGCTTTCAGCCACTACGCCCCAACACTCTTCTATCCCTCCACCTTGCTCCTTGCTGCCTCATCTTCAGGTCTCGCCTGAAGACCTTTATCTTTGAACATGCCTACAGTCACCTCCCTCTCCCCCCGGCTCGGTGTGGTGCTCCGCCACCATCAAGAGCTTCGTGAGGGGCACTGTGTAAATGCATGTTGTTGTCGAGGGAAGGACCAAGGACAAAGCTCTGAGGAACGCCGCACGTGACGTTGCAGGGCCAGTAGGAGATGCCTTGGGTCCAGCAAACGGAAACAATAATATGCTGAAGGGAAATGATAAGACACCTGTTTGCCTGAACTCCCGAGTCACCATTACACACAACGGGCAGCTGTGTCAGTGCTCAACCAGGAGAATGTGAACTCCTCACAGAGGGCGGGAGGGAAGGAGGGATTGAGTGACGGAGGGAGGGAGGAACTGAGGGAGAGAGGGATGGAAAGAGAGAGTGGGTGACGAAGGATGGGAAGATGAGATTCAGGGATGGAGTGAGTGAGGGAGGAGGGAACGAAGGAGAGATGGAGGGAGTAAGGACAGATTGAGGAAAGGAGTGATGGAGGGACCTCACCAGCGCGGCACAGTCACTACACTTGACAGCACTTGGCTGAGGCTGTTTGAGATGTTCCAATGTTATAGGCGCCAAGTTACATGTCTTATGTTATTATCTTTTGTTATCATAGAACTATACAGCACAGAAGAAGGCCATTCGGCCCATCGTGTCTGTGCCGCTCTTCGAAAAGAGCTTCCAATTCAACCCCACTCCCCCACTCTCCCCATAGCCCCGATCAACCCCACTCCCCCACTCTCCCCATAGCCCTGATCAACCCCACTCCCCCGCTCTCTCCCCATAGCCCCGATCAACCCCACTCCCCCACTCTCCCCATAGCCCTGATCAACCCCACTCCCCCGCTCTCTCCCCATAGCCCCGATCAACCCCACTCCCCCACTCTCCCCATAGCCCTGATCAACCCCACTCTCCCCATAGCCCTGATCAACCCCACTCCCCCCCACTCTCCCCATAGCCCTGATCAACCCCACTCCCCCACTCTCTCCCCATAGCCCCGATCAACCCCACTCCCCCCCTCTCCCCATAGCCCTGATCAACCCCACTCTCCCCATAGCCCTGATCAACCTCACTCCCCCCCCACTCTCCCCATAGCCCTGATCAACCCCACTCCACCCCACTCTCCCCATAGCCCTGATCAACCCCACTCCCCCCCACTCTCCCCATAGCCCTGATCAACCTCACTCCCCCCCCCACTCTCCCCATAGCCCTGATCAACCCCACTCCCCCCCACTCTCCCCATAGCCCTGATCCACCCCACTCCACCCCACTCTCCCCATAGCCCTGATTAACCCTACTCCCCCCCACTCTCCCCATAGCCCTGATCAACCCCACTCCACCCCACTCTCCCCATAGCCCTGATCAACCCCACTCCCCCACTCTCTCCCCATAGCCCCGATCAACCCCACTCCCCCCCTCTCCCCATAGCCCTGATCAACCCCACTCCCCCCCACTCTCCCCATAGCCCTGATCAACCCCACCCCCCCCACTCTCCCCATAGCCCCGATCAACCCCACTCCCCCCCTCTACCCATAGCCCTGCAAACTTGTCCCCCCAAAATAATTATCTACTTCTGTCTTAAAAGTTGTCATCATACATCCCTACACGCCTTCATTACATCGAGGCTCAACTATGCAAACTCCCTGCTTGTTGGCCCCCAACTCCTCCCTCCACAGACTGCAGATCATCCAGAACTCTGCAGCCCGTGTCCTCTCGTGCACCAGGCTCCGTGACCCTATCACCATCATCCTCGCCCGACTCCACTGGCTTCCCATCACTTAGAGGATACAGTTCAAGATCCTGGTCCTCACTTTCAAAGCCCTTCATGGTCTTGCTCCCCCACCTCTGCGACTTGCGACCTCCTAACCCCCTACAACCCTGTTCACTCCCTCCGCTCAGCAGTCTCCAGCCTGCTTCATGTCCCCCGCCTCACTCACTCCACTATTGGTGGGTGGGCCTTCCACCACTCTGCTCTCACCCTCTGGAACTCCATCCAACAGTCCCTCCATCCGGCCCCTCCCTCGCCACATTCAAAACCCTCCTCAAGACCCTCCTCTTCGGCCGTGCTTTCGATCTCCCTGCTTCCCCCCCCCCCCGGCCCCCCCCACCCCAACCTCAGCTCGGGTCCATAACGTTATTTTGGTTATGGAATCGGTTCCCACCGGCCTTTCAGGCAATGCGTTTCAGATCCCAACAACTCGCTGTATGAAAACATTTCTCCTCACCTCCCTTCTGTTTCTCCCCCCATTTTAACTGTGCCCTCGGGTTACCGACCCACCACCAGTGGGAATAGTTTCTCATTGTTCACCCTATCAGATCCTCTCATAATTTGAAAACTTCTATAAAATCTCTGCTTAACCTTCTCTGCTCCAAGGAGAATAATCCCGGCTTCTCTAACCTCTCCTGATAACTGAAGCCCCTCATCCCTGGTGCCATCCTGGTCAATCTGCTTTGCACCCTCTCGAAATTGTGGTTTGACTTGTCCACTCCTTCCCATCTCCTCTTCCCACTCCTATCCTCTCCCCCCTCTCTTCTCGTCTCGCCTCTTCCTCTCTCTGTCCCTCTCCTCTCTCCTCCACTCTCTCTTCTCTTTCCTCTACTCCCCACTCCTCTCCTCTGCCCCTCCCCTCCTCCCCTCCCCCTCTCCTCTCCTGTGGCAGGTAGAGTGTAGCTGTCTGCTGGTGTTGGTGGCTGCCTTTTGGCTCTCTCTGGTCCTCCTTTACTTTTGGAGCAAAGCACAGAACGACTACATCAACTTTGACTGGTGAGTGTGAGCAGTGTGTGTCTCCCAGTAACACAAAGGGATGTTGAGGAGGTAAACATAGAAACAGGAGGAGGCCATTCAGCCCCTCGAGACTGATCTGCCATTCTATAAGATCAACAACAACAACAAGATGTCATTTATAGAGCACCTTTCACATCGGGAGGACATCCCAAGGCGCTGGACAGTTGGGTCGGGACCTGAGCATTGGGTGGAGATGGTCAGGGTGAGGGGAGGGAAGGGAGGGAGTGAGGAGGGGTAGAGAGTCGAGAGGGGAGCTGAAGGCTGAAGGTCAAAGAGAAAGGTTTTGAGACCGGCCTTGAAGGAGGAAAGGGAGGAAGCGGCGAAGGCACTGGGGATGGAGTTCCAGAGCCTCGGGGCTGAGAGGCTGAAGGCCACCGGTGGTAGGGCGGTTGGGGCGGGGGATGTGGAGCAGACCGGAGCCAGAGGAACGGAGGGTACTGGCAGGTAGGTAGGGGGATAGTAGGTCGGAGAGGTAGGAGGGAGCGAGGCCGGGAATGGCCTTGTAGGTGAGGGTGAGGATCTTGAAATCGATCCTCTGGGGGATGGGGAGCCAGTGGAGGCGAGCGAGGGCGAGGGCGAGGGTGAGGGCGAGGGTGAGGGCGAGGGTGGGAGTGATGTGGTCGCGGTGTCTGGTGCGGGACAGTACACGAGCTGCAGAGTTCTGAATGACCTGCAGTGTGGAGGGAGGGCCGGGAAGGCCGACGAGGAGAGCGTTCCCATAGTCCAGCCTTGAGGTGATAAAGGTGTGGACCAGAGTTTCAGCCGCGTGAGGGGTGAGGTAGTGCCGTAGTCTCTGGCGATGTTCCGGAGGTGATGGAAGGCGGTGCCGGTTGTGGTGCGGATATGAGGGAGAAAGGACAGCTCAGGGTCGAGGGGAACCCCGAGGTTCCTGATGGCTTTGAGAGGTGGAGAGTGCGGCCTTGGATGCTGATGCTGTCATGGCTGATCTGTAGCTCAACCCCAATTACCCGCCTTTGCCCCATATCCCCTGATCCCCTGACCTGACAAACATCTCTCCCCCTCAGTCTGGACAATGTGAATGGACCCACACAGAATCCACAGCCTTTTGGGGGAGAGAGTTCCAGATCCCCACCGGCCTTTGGGTGAAAACCTGCCCCTGATTTCACTCCTCAATGGCGCGGCTCTAATTTTAAGATGATCCCCGTGTTCTGGATTCCCCACCAGAGGAAACAGTTTCTCTGTATCTGCTCTATCCAATCCCTTTATTATGTTAAACACCTCAATCAGATCAGCCTCAACCTTCTCAACTCGAGGAGAGAATAGGGGTGCTGGGAGAGAGAGGCGGGAGGAGAGGGAAGGGAGGAGTGAAGTAAGGGAGGAGAGAAAAAGGGGGAGATTTGGAGTGGGAAGTAGGCAGGTAAAGGACTTATGTGAGTTTTACTGCATATAATAATCCTTGAATTCGAAATAACTTATCAGTTGTCAAAACATCCCAAAAAGCTCGACAGGACTTGCTGTAAAGAACAACAGCAACAAATGACATTTATAGAGCGCCTTTCATGCCTGGAGGACGTCCCAAAACGCTGAACAGTCAGGGGTGAGGACACGAGCATGAGGGAGGGGTGGGTTGGCGGGAGGGGTGGGGTAGGTGTGAGGGAAGGCAGAGAAGTGGGAGGGAGACCGAAGGTACGATCGAAGAGGAGGGTCTTGAGACCGGCTTGAAGGGGGCGAGGGAGGAAGTGAGGTGAAGGGACCGTGAGATGGAGTTCCAGAGTGTGGGGGCAAAGAGGCTGAAAGCCCGGCCACCGATGGTAGGGTGGGTCGGGTGGGAGACATGGAGCAGCCGGAGCCCACTGAACGAAGGGAGCGTAGTGTAGTAAATGTAGTAACTGTGTATTTGTTGGCAAACAAATATTACGTACAGTAAACACCTAATAACTCGTCAATCGTTCCGAGGGAAAGGGCTCAGTGACTAGTTATCAGGAGTGATGAGTTAAGCATATGTATAAATACATAAATAAATGTGGCCGGGATATTGACAGGATGATGGCTTAATTGGTAGAGATAAATTAAGCCAGAGTCGAGTTATCAGGAGTTTACTGTGTATAAAATGCAAGGATTATTCTAAGTCTGATCATGTCCCACAGTCCCTTCACCTCAACCCCTCCTCCACCTCCTTCAAGACCCGTGTCAAGACCCTCTTCAACCGCGCCTTCTGTCATCCTCCTACCCCTACCCTCTCTGCCCTCCACCCCTCCTGATCCCAACCCCCAGCCCAGGTCCAATACCCTGACATTATAGCACAGAAGGAGGCCATTTGGTATATCCGACATTCCCACACCCCTCTTCTACCTCAAAACACAAAATCTTGCAGATGCTCAAAATCTGAAAACAAAAACTGAAGTTGCTGGAACCCTCAGGTCAGGCAGCGTCTGTAGAGAACAGAAAGGGAGTCAACGTTTCGGGTCCACGACCTTTCATGAGAACCCACACGCTTTAGTTCTGATGAAGGGTCGTGGACCCGAAATGTTGACTCACTTTCTGCATATTTCCTGTCAGACCTGCTGAGTGTTCCCAGCAACTTCGGTAACTGTTTTCAGATTTCTTGCATCTGCAAGATTTTGCTTTCCAGTTACTGACTCGCCCTCGAGATACCATTTCTTCCTGTTTATGTTATCAGCTCAATACTGTGGAGCCTGTAGGTCGGTGTGGAGTCTGTAGGTCGGTGTGGAGTCTGTAGCCAGGATTATTGTTATTCATTTTATTTTATTATGAATTATATCACTGATCTCTCTCTCCGCAGGAATTTTTACAGTGGCAAATGGATCCCATGGTCGATGGTGGTTCTTGTGGTGGTGACTGCTGTCTTTACCTACATAGCACTCTTACTGGTAAGTGAATAAGACGATTATGTTTGTCAATGGGAACGAAAGACCCCCACGGAACAGGCGTGAGGGACTGAATGGCCTCCTCCTGTTCCTATGTTTCTCCCAACCGCCCGTTACCCAATGCCCAAGTCTGAGACCTTCACACTCAACCAGAAATTAGCCCCCGCCCCAGCACCTTCAACATTAGCTTCCTTCATTCAGCTCAGGCCTCCCGCACATCCCTCACTGCTCAGCTCCACCATCAGTGGCTGTGCTTTCAGCCACTACGTCCTGAAATTCCGGAGCTCCCTGCCTCAATCCCTCCACCTCAACCCCTCCTTTGCCCTCCTTCCCATCGCACCTGAAGACTTTCCTCTTCGATCGTGCCCTCAGTCACCCCAGCATCCGAGAGAGAGAGAGAGAGAGAGCCCATATTCCATTCCGGGAGACTTCCTTGTGGGGCACGGAACACCCGACTACCAAAAAAACCTTCCTAAACTACTTGCCGACGCACCCAAATGAATTAGCAGCAGAGAACAATGCAATCTTCTGGGTCGATTTACAGTAATAATAACATAGCGGTTTATAACATTGTTGAGACATCTCAAAGCGCTTCACAGAATATACTATAAAGTGAATTGACTGTATATTTTGTGGGCGAAACATGGCAGCCAATTGCGCACAGCAGCGTCCCACAAACAGGCGCGGATTGAGTGACCAATTTGATATTTTGGAGGAATTAGTTCTCCCAGAAACGTGATCCGTCAATCGACTAATAACTGGTTCCTACTGACTGCTGGTAAACAGAGGCGTGTGGAGGAAGGAAACTTGCGTAAGGTTTCATCCTGCCCAGGAATCAAACCCAAGTCCTCTCGCTTGGTCCTCCCTTAACCTTCTTGTTTGTCCATTTGCTAATGAGCCCAACCCTCTCCCCGTTGGCTCCCCCTCTCAGTGTGATTGTCCAGTCAGCATCATGAAACGATTACGACGTCTCCACGGTCTTGCTCCTCTCTACCTCGGTGTCCTACTAACCCCATATCAACCTGTCCACTCCCTCCGCTCAGCTGTCTCGACCTGGTCCATGTCCCTGCCCTGCCTGCCCCGTTATCAGTGATCATACCCTCAGCCACCCTTTGGAATTCCATCCCACAGTCCCTTCCCCTCGCCTCCTCCCTCACCTCCTTCAAGCCCCGTCTCAAGACCTTCCTTTTTGACCGCGCCTTCGGCCAGCCTCCTACCCCCATCCTCGCTGCCCTCCACCCTCCTGATCCCACCCCCTAGCTTGGGTCCAAATCCCTGACTGTCCAGCGCCTTGGGACATCCTCCTGATGTGAATGGAGCCGTGTAAATGTCATTTTTGGTTGTAAATTGTAAGTAGTGTTATGTTTGGCTGCAGGTCCTAGCAATATGCTTGCTGTCAGAGAGTCAACGCTTGTACCTTCACTGGTGTCACAAGGTAAGCAGCCTCTCCTTAATAATAATAATAATAATCCTTGTATTGATATAGTGCCTTATCACATGTTCGAGATATGTCAAAACCCTTCACAGAATACACTGTGAAGAGGATTGACTGTATTTTATGGGAAAAACATGGCAGCCAACTGCGCACAATAGTGTCCAACAAAATAGCTGTGGATTGAGTGAATTTTTTTTGGAGGGATCACTATCCCCAGAAAGTGATCCGCCAATCAACTAACAACCAGGTTCTTACTGCTGGTAAACAGGCGCGTGGAGTAAGGAAACTTGCCTAAACTTTTTCCTTGCCCGGAAATCGTGAGGCGAGGGCTCTAACCACTGAGCTACAGGACTCCTCGCAGTTTGTTTGTTGGGTTTACCTGGGTGTTGATCTTGTTCCGTAAACAGCGCCAGGGCAATGCTGTACTGTGGGAGATGCTGTCCTTGGGATGAGATGTTAACCCGAGGTCCTGTCTGTACCTGTTCAGGTGGATGGTAAAGATCCCGCGGCTGTTGGAAAAGAGAAGGGAGTTTCTCTCTCTTCCCCCGGGGTCCTGGCCAACAATCCCCACAGATAAATAACTCATTCATTGCATTTAATGCAGTATCTTTCAGGTCACAGCATTGCACAGGATTTTAATGTAAAGTGTAATGACTTGTAGGTGAACACAGCAGCCAATTTGCTCAACGTCCTACGAACAGCCGTGAAATGAACGACCAATATTTATCTGGCAGGTTGTCGGGCTGGATACCAGAGTTAGTTATAAGAATATAAGAATTTATCAGGTAAAAGAAGATCAAGAACCATCTAGTTCCCCTTCCCCCATCCAAACTATACCCTGTATCCCCAGATATTATTTTCTGGCAGAAATCTATCTAATTTGTTCTTGAAACAAATAACATTTTCTGGTTCCAGCTCCTGTCTCCCCAGGGAGTCTGTTCCATAAGTTTCCTACTCACTCACTGACATAGTGTTTCTGCAGATGTCTTCTGAATTTACCCCATTCAATCGCAGGCCGTGTCCTCTGGTTCTACTGTTCTGTACAAGATAAATCAGCGTATCCTGGTCTACATTATCTAGTCCCTGTGGACATGCAGAAATTTGCTTCCAAGACACAGCCGGCATAATTATAACAGTTATTAAAAGAAAATATGTTTTGATGTTTTCAGGGCCCATAAAAATGGCTTAAAAAGTTGCTGTTTCTTTCTCTCAGATTGGGATTTTTCTGGTATTGATCTTCAGTGTGGTGTCGATTGGGGTTTTATTTAATCAGTGGGCCGAGGAGTGGACAACCTTCATCCTCTCCTTTCAGGTACGTAGCCATGGCCATCTCTCTCTCTCTCTCTCCCTCTCTGTTAGCCTGGCTCAGTCTGTAGCGCTCTCAACTTTGGGTCAGAAGGTTGTGGGTTCAAGCCCCCAAGCCCACACATCGGGATTGGAATTACACAGCCTGAGCTGATGCTCCAATGCAGTCCTGGGGGGCATTGTATTGTTGTCCTTCAGATGAGATGTTAAACTGAGATCCCAACTGCCTGTTCAGGTGGAAGTTAACAGCCTCACAACACAGTTCCAAGTAACTAAGTTGTGGCTGACAGATTTACAGTTATACAGTGCCTTTAAAATCAGGAGAATGGCCCAAGGTTCTCCTACCCTGAGGGCAGGAGCAGAGGAGGATGTGTGGGGAGAGGAAAGGGGACTGAAAGTGAGGTCAAAGATGTAGGTCTTGAGATAGACTTTGAACGATGGGAGGGAGGGAGGGAGGCGGAGGGCGGCGGTGGGGGCAGGATGGTGGAAACCTGACCTCTGATGGTGGGGAGGGGAGTGTAGAGCTGGGGGGACGTGATGTGGGGATGTATAAATATACTCTGTTGTTGTTGTTGTTGCTCCTGCCCAGGTGACCGCTCCCTACCTCCACATCGGTGGAAGCGTGGCAATGACCTTGCTGTCGTGGACAGTCTCTCTGCATTTCGCCAGGATAAACAAACCAGGTCAGGTGAGGCGCAGTCTGGCTCAGTCACTCCGGCTCTGTGGCCATGGGCCAGAAGGGAAGCTCGTGGGTTCAAATCCCCCCCCACCCCACACACACACACACACACACACGCACATAGGAAGTAGAGTCCTGTAGCTCAGTGGTTAGACACTCGCCTCAAAAGCGAGAGGACCATTGTTAGATTCCCGGGCAGCGCAAAACCTGAGGCAAGTTTCCTTACTCCACACGCCTCTGTTTACCAGCAGTGAGTAGGAACCTAGTTGTTAGTTGATTGGCGGATCACTTTCCGGGACTAATAATCTCTTCAAATTAAAAAAAAATGAAGTCATTCAATCCAGGACTGTTTCTGGGACACTGTAAAAAAATTGGCTGCCACATTTTGCTCACAAAATGTACTTCAGTGAACGAATAATGAAGAACAACAAGGTCCATCCAGTCGCCTTCCACTATCCTGGCAGTCACTTGTACATGTCATGTCCCAAACTATACACTGAATAATAGTGTACAGGAGGGATCAACAACAACAACAACAACAATTACATTTATAGAGCGCTTTTCACGTCAGGAGGAGTGAGGCAGAGATGGAGAGAGGGAGGGATTTATGACTAAGTAAATTGGGCATTTTCTCACTGGAAAAGAGAAGATTGAGAGGTGACCTGATTGCTGTCTTTAAAATTCTAAAGAGGCAAACAATATAGGTCATACCGGGCTGTTTCAACTTGTCCAGTGAGCGACTGGTGAACCTGTGGAACTGGCTCCGTGGGGAGACACACGGTTGAAGCAGGAAATGTTGATTCTTCCAAACACAGATGAGATAGTTTTCTTTTAGGAAATCACATGATGGGATACAATACATAGGGAGTTTGGGACATATGTGTATATGACCGCCAGGCAGGTGGAAGGCAAACTAGATGGACCTTGGTCTTTTTTTGTCCAGCATTTCGTATGTTCTTAAGTATACAGTCAAGTCACTAATTGATAAATGTAAAGATCATCAAGAAGAGATTTTCTCCCAAGGACCTGTCTAACAGTCCCACCTCCCGTTTCCCCCCCCACTCCCCCACAGTCTGCTGTTTGTAGGGTTTGGCTGTGTGTAAAACAGCTTCTTAGTTTGTCTATAAATAAATAACAGGGTGATTGTACTCAACAATAAGCATTGTGCAGAGATTGTAGACCTTTGGACGCTGTAAATACAGAAGATAAGTGTTTGCCTTTGTTATTGGTTTTCGACTCGTTGGAGTGAACCCAGAGATCAAAGCAATGGGAGCCATTAACACTGACGCCCATTGGATAGACTTGGCAGCTCCATCCCATCAACAGACAATCTGCCAAACGTTCATTAAACTCAAAGGGAGCCGACAGGATTTATTTATTTATTTATATCATTTATAAGTCACCAGTTTGGAGTGGAGTCCTGTAGCTCAGTGTTTAGAGCCCTCGCCTCGCAAGCGAGCGGATCTGGGTTTGATTCCCGGGCAGGGCGAGACATTAGGCAAGTTTCCTTACCCCCACACCTCTGTTTACGCAGTAAATAGGAATACAGTTGTTAGTGGATTGTCACATTGCTTTCCGGGGGTAATAATCCCTTCAAAAAATTAATAATAATTGGGTCACTCAATCTACAACTGTTTGTGGGACGCTGCTGTGCGAAATTGGCTGTCGTGTTTTGTCTACAAAATACACAGTCAATTCACTTACAGTGTATCCTGTGAAGCGCTTTTAAGACGTCTCGAAGACATAATAAGATGCTGTATCAGATGCCAAGATTATTATTATTATATTCCTCCCAACAACATTTACGCAAGGAATCAAAGTATATTTTGCATTTACAAGTGAGACGTTAAACTGAGGTCTCATTTGTCTGTTCAGGTGGATGTTAAAGATCCTGTGGGGCTATTCGAAAAGAGAAGGGAGTTTCTCTCTCTCTCACCTGGTGTCCAGGCCAACAATCCCTCAGACACTGCTGTATGCAACTGGCTGCCACGTTTCACTTACAAAATACAGTCACTACACTTTACAGTAAAATCCTGTGAAGCGCTTTGAGGCGTTTCAATGACATGATAAGGCACTGTATCAAATGCCAGGATTATTATTGTTGTTGTTGCTTATGGTTGTTGGAGCTGATGTGCCTTGTTTCAGGTCTGAGAGCTATGCTGTTGGGGCCATACCTCGCTGTCCTCCTCCTGCTCTATCTGCTGCCTCTCAGCTTGTACTCGCCCTGCATCAAACAACAGGGGACTCTGGGCCCCCGACCAGCCATCTATGGACACAGAGGGGCCCCTATGGTAGGGAGCTGTTATAATAATAATAATAATAATAATAATAATAATAATAATAATAATAATAATAATAATAAGCCTTGCATTTGATAACAGTGCCTTATTACATTTTCGAGACAACGCCTCTCACACTTAGCACCTTTCACATCGGAAGGACGTCCCAAGGCTCTGGACAATCAGTGTTTCGGACCCGAGCTTGGCAGAGGGCAGAGGGGAAGGAGGCATGTTCGAAGAGGAAGGTCGTGAGACGGGTCTTAAAGGAGGCAAGGGAGGGGTGAAGGAGGAGGGATGGAGTTCCAGAGGGTGGGGGCTGAGTGGCTGAAGGCCCACCCGCCAATGGTGGAGCGAGCTTATGGAGAGAGGAATTGGGGAGGGCGACAATCAGGGAGTTTGTAGTCAAGCCTGGATGTTATGAATGCATGTGTGACATCTCAAAGCGCTTCACAGAATAGCAATCAATCCACTAATTGACTAACAACCAGGTTCCTCCTCACTGCTGGTAAACAGAGGCGTGTGGAGTGAGGAAACTTGCCCAACGTTTCGCCCTGAACAGGAATCAAACCCGGGTCCTCTCGATTGTCAGGCGAGTGTCTAACCACTGAGCTACAGGACTTCACGTCCTCTAATTGATGTGTAGATTAATGATTACTGGATCATGTCTGTATCTTAAGGATGTCCTGTTTTGACAACTGGTACATTCTGTACATTTGAACACTGTCTTTCAGGTCATTGTGCCTCCAAACTGGGGTGAGCAAAGCTTTGTGGTGAGAGTTTGGTGTTTGAGTTGGAGAGAGAACGAGTTGGGTTTAGGGCTTAGCCTTCAAAAATTCTGAATCTGCCAATTCTAGAGGATCCCAAATACATACAGCACCTTTCACATTGAGTGAACAAGTCCAAACGCTTCGCAGGGTTTGTTGTAAAGTCCAGTAACTTAGTGTATTTTGTAGAAGAACGTGGGCAGCCAATTTACAAGCTTCAATCCCATCTCACCACCTTGAGACGTCCTCTGACATGAAAGGCGCTCTATAAATGGAATCTTGTTGTTGTTGTATCTATCCCAGTTGGACCACCCGGTGAAGATGGGGGCTCAAAGTCCTGAGTTGGAACTTGAATCAACAACCTTCTGACTCAGAGGCCAAGATTGCTACCAGCTCGGCGGAGCCAGGCAGACACATAATTGGTGCACAGCTTAGCTCTCGCCCAGCTGCTCCTAATACTCACTGGAGTAAGGTAAACAGGGTCCGCCCTCTAGGGAGAGTCTATGTGTTTCATTCCTGGAATATGGAAATTTCCATGAGTAGGTAGAACACTCAGAAGGTTGTCTCTCTCTTGTGTCAGGGATAGTAGTTTGTGGGATCAAGGTGCGCATCAGGCACTTTGTTTTTAAAGCCCTCAACAATCTTGCTCATCCCTACCTCTGCAACCTTCTGACACCTCACCAACCAGTCCACCCGCTCTGGTGGCCCTGCTTCCCAACCGGCCTATTGGCAGTCAGGCCTTCAGCCTCTCTTCCCCCATCCTCTGGAACTCAGCCTCACCCCCTACCTCACTTCCTTCAAGGTACATTTCACAACCTTCCAGTTTGATCGCGCCTTCGGTCACCTGCCTACCTCCCACCCTCCCTCCTCTCCACCCCTCCTGATCCCAACCGCGAGCTCGGGTTCAAATCCCTGTCTGTTCAGAGCCTTGGGACGTCCTCCTGACGTGAAAGGTGCCATGTAAATGCAATGTGTTGTTGTTGTTTGAGGTCACTCGACGCGGGAGTGAGTACAGCTAGTGTGCAGGGTGTGCAGAGTGTGGGGCTGAGGAAGGAACGGGTGGGGGCGGAGCGGGGGAACTGCTGACGTCATAGTGGTAGTTTTCAGAAGTGTGCGTGCGCAACAAAAAAAAAATATCCTCTGCGCCCCCCCCCCGGCTCAGACCCCTATGGTCCTGTTAGGTTGGTGCCCAGCCCCCATGGGATATGTGTCCCCCTGACCCCGCTCCCTCCCCTCGCAATATGGCTCCGCATACCCGAGCCCCCCCCCCCCCTCCCTCCCCTCTCTACCCCCAAACCCTCCCCCCTCTGCATCTCTCCCGCTCTCTCCTCCTCTCTCCGTCCCTCTCGCCTTCTATCCCCACTTGACCCTCCCACCCCCTCCCTCTGTTCCAGTCTGGGAACCCTCCGCCGGGCTCACCGTGGCACTCGGCGTTGGCTGTCCAGCAGCAGCCACACCGACTGCCCCATTCCCCACCACACTCGCCACCCACCCCGGGCACAGACCCGGGGAGTCCAACCTCTCCTCCCTCATCCCCATTCCCCCCACCCCTGCCTCACAACCTGGAACCCCCCCACACACACCCTTCTGTCAACCGCTCCCTCCACATCGGACTGCAAAATGTCCGCTCCCTCTGCAACAAGGCCCTGGTCATCAACGATCTCATCCTTGATGAGAACGTTGACATCATGGCCTTAAAAGAAACCGGGCTCACCCCAGGGACCCCTTCCCCCTCACGGAGGCCACGCCACCCGGCTACACCTCCCACCACATCCCCCGCCCCAACCGCCGTGGCGGTGGTGTTGCCCTTATCTCAAGGACACCACTTGCCCTATCCCCCTACTCCTCTGGCTCTTTCCCCTCCTTTGAGCACCTCACCCTCTCCCACCCCTCATTCCTCTCCCTTAAAATCCTCCTCCTCTACCAGCCCCCTAAAACCTCTCCCACCTTCATCTCTGACATTTCAACACTCCTCACATCTCTTTGCCTCTGCTCTGATCGCCTCATCATCCTGGGCGACTTTAACCTACACTTCACCCCCTCCTGCTCCATCTCCTCAGACTTCTCTTCCCTGCTCTTCTCACTCAACCTCTCCTTACACATAAACTCCCCCACTCACAGTCACGGCCACCCACTCGATTTGGTGATCACCCGGGGCCTCAGTGTCTCGGATATCACCATCACCGATAAGGCCATCTCCGACCACCACTTCATCTCCTTCACCACCTCCACCCCCCCTCCCCACCTCCACCAGACCCACCACCATCTTCTATCACCCTTGGAAGAAGTTACCCCTTCAATCCCTAACCACTGCCTTGGAGTCCTCTGAACTCCGCGGTCACTTCCCCTCCAAAATCCACCCACCCCCCACCCCCTCCCTCCCACACTCCGACTCCTACCTATCCTCCCCTACACACCTTCGTACCCGTTTCCCCACCCTCTGTCACCAAACTCATCCTCCCTGAAACCTACCACCTGCTCCCTTGACCCCATCCCCACTCCACTCCTTATCTCCCAGCTCCACCTCCTTGCCCCACATATCACAGACATCGTCAACCTGTCCCTCCTCTGGCTCTGTTCCCATTCCCTTAAAAACTGCCACCATCACTCCTACCTTAAAAAAACCCTCCCTTGATGCGTCGCAGCTATCAAGCTACCGGCCCATCTCCAACCTCCCCTTCCTGTCCAAGGTCCTGGAACGAGTTGTCGCCTCCCAGCTGCGCTCTTTCCTCTCCACCCATTCACTATTCGAACCCCTTCAATCGGGTTTCCGTGCTGCCCATAGCACAGAAACTGCCCTGGTCAAGGTCATCTGAACATCTGTGACCAGGGCTCCCTCTGTCTCCTCGTCCTCCTCGACCTATCGGCAGCATTCGATACAGTCGACCACTATCCTCCTCCACCGCTTGTCCTCCCACCTCAACCTTCAAGGCCCTGTCCTTGAGTGGTTTAGGTCGTACCTCTCCCACCGTCTTCACTTTGTCTCCTCAAATGGTTTTTCCTCCACCCCCCGCACTGTCTCGTGTGGTGTCCCTCAGGGCTCTGTCCTCGGTCCCCTCCTCTTCACCCTCTATATGCTCCCCCTGTGGTGACATCATCCGCAGACATGGGGTTAACTTCCACATGTATGCGGATGACACCCAACTCTACCTTTCCTCCTCTACCCTCAACTCCACGACCCCCGATGTCCTGACAGCTGCCTGTCCGACATCGAGTCCTGGACGAGAGACAACTTTCTTCAGCTCAACGTGCGCAAAACTGAGGCCCTCCTGATTGGCTCACGTCAGCGCCTCCGCACCTCAGGCGCTGACACCATCAGCATCCAAGGCTGCACTCTCCACCTCTCAAAGCCATCAGGAACCTCGGGTTCTGTTCGACCCTGAGCTGTCCTTTCTCCCCCATATCCGCACCACAACTGGCACCGCCTTCCATCACCTCCGGAACATCGCCAGACTACGGCACTACCTCACCCCTCACGCGGCTGAAACTCTGGTCCACGCCTTTATCACCTCAAGGCTGGACTATGGGAACTCTCTCCTCGTCGGCCTTCCCGCCACCTCCCTCCACACTGCAGGTCATTCAGAACTCTGCAGCTCGTGTACTGTCCCGCACCAGACACCGCGACCACATCACTCCCTCACCCTCACCCCCTCACCCCTCGCCCCCTCCCTCGTCGCCTCCACTGGCTCCCCATCCCCCAGAGGATCGAATTCAAGATCCTCATCCTCACCTACAAGGCCATTCACGGCCTCGCTCCCTCCTACCTCTCTGACCTATCCCCCTACCTGCCTGCCCATACCCTCCGTTCCTCTGGCTCCGGTCTGCTCCACATCCCCCGCCCCAACCGCCCTACTATCGGTGGCCTTCAGCCTCTCAGCCCCGAGGCTCTGGAACTCCATCCCCCAGTGCCTTCGCCGCTTCCTCCCTTTCCTCCTTCAAGGCCGGTCTCAAGACCTTTCTCTTTGACCTCACCTTCAGCTCCCCTCCTCGACTCTCTACCCCTCCCCTCCTCCCCTCCTCCGCTCCCTTCCCTCCCCTCACCCTGACCATTTCCCCCCAATGCTCGGGTCCTGACCCAACTGTACAGCGCCTTGGGACGTCCTCCCGACGTGAAAGGCGCTCAATAAATGGAATCTTGTTGTTGTTGTTGTCACAAGGGTGATGTTCCAGGGCATAGGCGGTGAAAATAATCTTGGTGGGTGGGGAGTTAAGTGGTTGGTCCCCTTTAAGAATCCTGTAACTGTAACTCACAAGCGAGAGGACCTGGGTTTGATTCCCGGGCAGGACAGAACGTTGGGCAAGTTTCCTTACTCCACATGGCTATGTTTACCAGCAGTGAGTAGGAACCCGGTCGTTAGTCAATTGGCTAATCGCTTTTCCAGTGATAATAATCCCTTCAAAAAAATGTATTGATAATTTGGTCACTCAATCCACGACTGTTTGCGCACAATTGGTTGCCGCGTTTCATCTACAAATCTGTACACTTTACAGTATATTCTATGAGATGTCTCGAAGATGTGATAAGGTACTACATCAAATGCAAGGATTATTATTATTAATAATTATCTTATGAGGTGTAGAGCTATGTGTCAAACGGTGTTCCATTCCGATGTGATTTATTTCATTGACAATTTCACTTTTGCAGTTAGCGCCAGAGAACACGTTGATGTCGTTTGAGAAAAGCATAGAAATGGGGACAGATGGTCTGGAAACTGATGTGACCATAAGGTGAGGATGTTTATTGTCATTTTGGTCACTCAATCCACCACCGTTTGTGGAACAATGCTTTGCGTGATTGGTTGCTGAGTTTCACCCACAAATTAGACAGTCACCACACTTTACAGTGTATTCTGTGAAGCGCTTCGTGACGTCTTGAAGACGTGATAAGGCGCTGTATCAAACGCAAGGATTATTATTATTATTGGTGCTGTACTTCCACATAAGGCCACTCTCAGGCTTTCTATCACTCCTATCTGGGAGGTTTTGGAGATAGATAGGGATGGAGAGTAAGGTGGCAAGAGAGAGAGTTAGAAAGAGCCAGAGAGAAAGAGGGGGAGAGATGTAGACACACAGAGATAGAGAGAGAGAGGGAGAGACGGAGAGAGTGAGGAGAGACGAAAAGTGAGAGGCATATATAGAGAGAGAGAGAGAGAAAGATGGGGAGACAGTGAGAGATAAATGAGAGGTAAGATTGTGAGTGGGAGAGAGAGAAAGAGTGAAAGAGAGCGATAGACTGAAAGTCCTGTGTGTAACATGAAGCAGTCCTGTGTTCGCTGAGTGAAGTGAGTGGCTGGTGTGGTCGAGTAAAGTAATCTCTAACCTTCCCACAATCCCTACTGGTGTCGCCAACAACAACAACTTGCATTTCACACAGCGCCCCACCCCCCACACACAGGGCAGCGTCGCAGGGTTGGGGGTGAGCAGGTTGGAGAGGTAGGGAGGTGCCAGGGCGTGAAGGGATTTGAAGATGAGTGAGAGGGTCAGTATCCAGTCCCTGATGTTTGTCTGTTTATCCCCCACAGCTATGATGGAATCCCGTTCCTAATGCACGACCAAACTCTCCAGAGAACAACCAACATCAGAGAGGTACTGCCCAACAACTCGACTCACAGCGCTGACAAGTTTCATTGGGCAACCTTGGCCAGTCTGAATGCCGGCAAGTGGTTTCTTAAGGTACGTGCTATTTCAAGATCCTCATCCTCACCTACAAGGCCATTCACGGCCTCGCTCCCTCCTACCTCTCCAACCTACTATCCCCCTACCTACCTGCCCGTACCCTCCGTTCCTCCGGCTCCAGTCTGCTCCACGTCCCCCGCCCCAACCGCCCTACCATCGGTGGTCGGGCCTTCAGCCTCTCAGCCCCAGGCTCTGGAACTCCATCCCCAGTGCCTTCGCCGCTTCCTCCCTTTCCTCCTTCAAGGCCGGTCTCAAAACCTTTCTCTTTGACCTTCAGCCTTCAGCTCCCCTCTCGACTCTCTACCCCCTCCTCGCTCCCTCCCTTCCCTCCCCTCACCCTGACCATTTCCCCCCTCCTCGCTCCCTCCCTTCCCTCCCCTCACCCTGACCATTTCCCCCCTGCTCGGGTCACGACCCAACTGTGCAGCGCCTTGGGACGTCCTCCGACGTGAAAGGCGCTTTATAAATGGAATCTTGTTGTTGTTGTTGTATTTCTCCAACAAAATACACAGTCACTACACCTGTGAAGTGCTTTGAGACGTCTCAATAAGGCACTGTATCAAATGCAAACCTTACTATTATTATAAGGGGGTGAAAAGGTGAAAGGGTCAGAGATGAAAAAGCACGTAACTGTGTAGAGGTGTATCAGACTATATAGAGGTGTCACTGTTAATATCAGTCTATATAGAGGTTCTCACTGTTAATATCAGACTATATAGAGGTGTCACTGTTAATATCAGACTATATAGAGGTGTCACTGTTAATATCAGACTGTATAGAGGTGCTCACTGTTAATATCAGACTATATAGAGGTGTCACTGTTAATATCAGACTATATAGAGGTGTCACTGTTAATATCAGACTATATAGAGGTGTCACTGTTAATATCAGACTATATAGAGGTTCACTGTTAATATCAGACTATATAGAGGTGTCACTGTTAATATCAGACTATATAGAGGTGTCACTGTTAATATCAGACTATATAGAGGTGTCACTGTTAATATCCGACTATATAGAGGTGTCACTGTTAATATCAGACTATATAGAGGTGTCACTGTTAATATCAGACTATATAGAGGTGACACTGTTAATATCAGACTATATAGAGGTTCTCACTGTTAATATCAGACTATATAGAGGTGACACTGTTAATATCAGACTATATAGAGGTGACACTGTTAATATCAGACTATATAGAGGTTCTCACTGTTAATATCAGACTATATAGATGTCACTATTAATATCAGACTATATAGAGGTGTCACTGTTAATATCAGACTATATAGAGGTGTCACTGTTAATATCAGACTATATAGAGGTGCTCACTGTTAATATCAGACTATATAGAGGTGTCACTGTTAATATCAGACTATAAAGAGGTGTCAGTGTTAATATTGGACTATATAGAGGTGTCAGTGTTAGTATCAGAGATTTGCACCTGAGCTGAGGGTTGGGATCAGGAGAGGTGGAGGGTAGGGTTAGAATGGTGACTGAAGTGGTGGTCAAGGAGTTGGGCCTTAACCAATCGAGGGAGAAAGAGAGGCAAATGGGGTCTGGATGGAAATCTAGAGAGGGCGTTGTCTTGTCCCAATGTGATCAATACTGAGTGATCCTTACTGTTCAATTGTGTGGTCAGTGGTCTGGAATGTTCCTAATAACCCCATCTGTTTCCACCCCTCCTGTGCTGACCGGCCACAAGGCGTGGAGTCCTGTAGCTCAGGGGTTAGACACTCGCCTCACAAGCGCGAGGACCCGGGTTTGATTCCCGGGCAGAGCAAACCTTAGGCAAGTTTCCTTACTCCACACGACTCTGTTTACAGCAGTGAGTGGGAACCCGGTTGTTAGTTGATTGACGCGTCGCTTTATGGAGTAATAATCCCTCCTCACCCCAAAAAATAATAATAATTTGGCCATTCAATCCACGACTGTTTGTGGGACACTGTTGTGCGCAATTGGCTGCTGCGTTTTGCCCATCCTGTTATTAACAGGATTATTATTATTAACAGGATTATTATTATCATTATTAACAGGATTATTATTATTATTATTAACAGGATTATTATTATTATTATTAACAGGATTATTATTATTATTGACAGGATTATTATTATTATTATTATTGACAGGATTATTATTATTATTATTGACAGGATTATTATTATTATTATTAAAAAGGTTATTATTATTATTATTAACAAGATTATTATTATTAACAGGATTATTATTATTATTATTAACAGGTTATTATTATTATATTATTAAAAAGATTATTATTATTAACAGGATTATTATTATTATTAAGTTATTATTATTAACAGATTATTATTATTATTGACAGGATTATTATTATTATTAACAAGATTATTATTATTATTGACAGGATTATTATTATTATTATTAAAAAGGTTATTATTATTATTATTAACAAGATTATTATTATTATTAACAGGATTATTATTATATAACAGTATTATATTATTATTATTGACAGGAATTATTATTATTATTAACAGGATTATTATTATTATTGACAGGATTATTATTATTATTAACAGGATTATTATTATTATTATTAACAGGATTATTATTAACAAGATTATTATTATTATTATTGACAGGATTATTATTATTATTGACAGGATTATTATTATTATTAACAGGATTATTATTATTATTATTGACAGGATTATTATTATTATTGACAGGATTATTATTATTATTATTAACATTATTATTATTATTATTGACAGGATTATTATTATTATTGACAGGATTATTATTATTATTAACAGGATTATTATTATTATTATTATTATTATTAACAGGATTATTATTATTATTATTAACAGGATTATTATTAACAAGATTATTAATTATTATTAACAGGATTATTATTATTATTAACAGGATTATTATTATTCTTGACAGGATGATCCCTTCCAGTCTGTGCACCTGCTGTCGAAGGCGGGGCGGGGCAGGGCGGGTAACCAATCGGTGTGCACACTGGCTGAGCTCCTGGGCCTGGCCGCCAGACACCAGCAGTTGGTGATATTTGACCTGAAAAAACCTCACAGGAGTCACCCACACACCAACACCTGGGTCACCACGACCATCGATGTGATCAAGCGATCCGGAATCGACCACCGGCTGGTCAGAGCTTCCTTGCTTACCTTCCCTGCAGCTCCCGCCACGTCACAGCGCTTCACAGAATTTACTGTAAAGTGTAGTGACTGTTTTTTGTAAGGGAATGTTACAATAATAATAATCCTTCCATTTAATGTAGCACCTTATCACGTCTTCAGGACATCTCATTTACACACAACTGTGTCCCCACAAACAGTCACCCAGGAAGTGAAAGTCCCAATTTTATAGCATCTACAACAACAACAACAACTTGGGTGTATATAGTGCCCCCACACCGGGCGGCGTCTCAGAGCTTCACAGGGACTGATCCCGGGGCCGAGCCAGGGGGAGGAGCCAGGGGAGGGGCTGCAGAGGGGGAGGAGCCAGGGGGAGGAGCCAGGGGAGGGGGAGGAGCCAGGGGTGGGCCAGGGGAGGGGAGGAGCCAGGGGGATGGGCCGGGGGGGGGGGGGGAAGGTGACCAAAGGTGCAGTCGAAAAGAAACGTCTTCAGCAGAGGCCTGAAAATAGGAAGGGAGGGAGTGAGGGGAAGGGAGTGAGGAGGAGTTCCAGAGCCTCGGGGCATAGAGGCTGAAGGCACAGCCGCTGGGGGTGGAGCAGAGGAGAGGACAAGCACAGAAGGAGGCCATTCAGCCCATCGTGCCTGAGCCGCCTCTTTGGAAGAGCTTCCCAATCAATCCCCTCCTCCGCTCTTCTCCCATATCTTTACAAATGGTTCCTTTTCAAGTCCCTGTCTTTGAAAGTTGTTATTGAATCGGTTTCCACCACCGATTCCAGACCATAACAGCTCTCTGGGTAAAAATTATCTTAAATCTATGTCCTCTGGTTACTGACCCACCTGCCCACCAGAGGAAACAGTTTGGGTTAGTCACTCGTCATGAAGGCGCTATATTAAATATAAAGGTTATTAATATTATTATTGTGCTATTCTGGTTTCTCAGTGGTTTTCAGTGATGATCCAATTACACCGCCATATTACACTTAAATGGATATTATTTTTCTTAGTATATTTGAGCTTCCCAAAATTACTAATTTCTCCAGGAGGTGAATACTTTGTGCACCAAGTATTTGGGGACCTATTTCTAAATAGACTTATTAACAGTCACAGTTGACCCAATGATCGTAGGAACTTTTTTGTTTTTCATTGTAGCGTATCCACATTCAACTTTAGTTCAACAAATCTCCTGATCCAGGGGTAATAATCCCTTCAACAAATAAATAAATTGTTCACTCAAATCCACAAATATTTGTGGGACACTGCTGAGCAAATTGGCTGCTGCGTTTTGCCCACAAATTCACAGTCACTACACTTTCCAGTATATTCTGTGAATATACTGGAAGGAGGAGACATCCTCCCGACTTGAAAGGCGCTATACAAATATCATTTTGTTGTTGTTGTTGATTAAAGTGCTTATCAAATGCAAGGATTATTATTATTATTGGTATTGTAGTTATTGTCATTATTTGTTGTTATTAATATTTTTATTTTTGTTATTATTGTTATCGTTGTCATTTTTGTTGTTGTTATTCTTGTTATTATAACACCACTGCAGATCCTGTGGCTGCCCAATGAGTTGAGGACGACAGTACAATACCTGGCTCCTGGATTTGTTCAAGTATTTGGTGGGAAGGAAAAGGTTGAGGTGCTTCAGATGAATAACGTCACAATGGTCAACCTGCATTACAGCCAAATGTCCAGTGAGGAGATCAGGTAATCCGTGCGGGAGGGAGTGAGAGAAGGAGGGAGGAAGAGAGAGAGGGGGGGAGGGAGGGAGAGGGGGAGGGAGGGGGTAGTCCCTGTGTTATCTCCTCTCTGCACCCCTCTCTCCATCCCTCTCTCTCTCTCTCCCATATTAACTAAAGATCTTATATAATCTGTGGGGTGGCGAGTCTAGTCCAGGCTACACACCATCTTATCATTGTAGCACATCTACCATTATGGTGACAACTGCACAGCGTCCAACGTCAGAAACACTTGACAATAATAATCCTGGTGTTTTATACAGCGCTCATCATGTCTTCAAGATGTCTCAAAGCGCTTCGCAGGACACACTGTAAAGTGAATTGACTGAATATTTTGTGGACGAAACGCGGCAGCCAATTGTGCACAGCAGCGTCCCACACACAGTCGTGGATTCAATGACCAATTTATTATTATTATTTGTTTGAAGGAATTTTTAGCCCCAGGAGAACGATCCCACCGATCAACTAACAACCGGGTTCCTACTCACTCTGGTAAACAGAGGTGTGGAGAGTAAGGAAACTTTCCAAGTTAGGTTCCCCCCTGCCCAGGAATCAAGTCCAGGTCCTCTCACTTGAGAGGCGAGTGTCTAACCAATGAGCTATAGGACCGCACATGGCTCAGACGCCGAGCGAGGGAGAGATAACACATGGTTAAAGAGAAAGTCTTCATGCACAATCTGAAGATGGGAATCATAATAATAATAATCCTTGCATTTGATCAGTTTTATTAAGGTGACAGTCTCAAATTTAGAGCGAGTATGGATTGAGACGAGGAGATTATTTTGTGGAAATTGGAGATTTTACAAGCGAAGCCGAGCTGATAGCACAAACCACAAATTCTGCTCTGTGTTTTGTAACCTAGGTACTTATTTGGGGAGGACAAGTTTGCAGGCCTATGGGGAGAGCATGGCAGTGCGGTTGATCAGGGCTATGGGGAGAGAGCGGGGGAGTAAGGGACCCACTTCTGGCTCGGGCCGGCCTGACTTCAGTCTCCACGAGGTCTTCCCTTTGTCCTTTCTAAGATAGAAGATGGATTGGTTTCAGGGCTATGGGGAGAGAGTGGGGTTTATCAGGGCTACGGGGAGAGAGTGGGGGAGTGGGGTTGATCAGGGCTATAGGGAGAGCGCGCGGGGGAGTGGGGTTGATCAGGGCTATGGGGAGAGCGCGGGGGAGTGGGGTTGATCAGGGCTATGGGGAGAGCGCGGGGGGGAGTGGGGTTGATCAGGGCTATGGGGAGAGAGTGGGGGAGTGTCGGTACAGACACAATGGGCTGAATGGCCTCCCTCTGCTGTATAATTCTATGATTGTCTGAACCACAATCTGCACATCCGCTCATCATTGCTAATCCCCTACAACTCTGATGTTATTGCTGTGTGTAATTGGCTGCTGCGAACACACAGACACTCACCTTTACAGTGTATCCTGTGAAGCACTTTGAGATGTCTCGGCATTGTGATAAGGCACTGATTAAATACGAGGATTACTGTTATCATTAAGAGATATGGGAATAGGGACTGAGGTTCCTCAGCCGAATGGCCTTTTCAGTCAAAAAAATGTGGTTTATATAAAAGATTCTTTTTCTCTCCTTTCTTAAAACTAAAATTTGCTTTTCTTTTGTTCTCTCCTACCCTCCCTCCCCCACAACACCCCCCACCACACCCCCCCACCACAACCCCCCACCCACCACAACCCCCCCCACCCACCACAACCCCCCCCACCCACCAACACCCCCCACCATAACCCCCCACCACAACCCCCCACCTACCCACAACACCCCCCCATCACAACCCCCCACCACAACCTCCCACCTATCCACAACACCCCACCCACAACATCCCCTACCACAACCCCCCACCCCCCCACAATAACCCCACCACATCATCTACACCTCTCAACACCTCTCATCACAACCTTCCCCTCTCACATCCTCCCTCACTCACAACCCCCCACCCACCACAACCCCCCACCCAAATCACAAACTAGAATCTATGCTGCGGCCAATATCAGCACCAACCTGTTCACAGTGAGCGAGCCCTGGCTGTATTCTCTCGTCTGGTGTATGGGGGCTCACTCCGTCACCACTGATGCTGCTCACATCCTCAAGAGGATTCAGCGACCAGCCTTCCTAATGGTAAGCCATGCAGGCATTACAACAACAACAGCAACAACAACAACAACAAAGCATATAAAAAATAAACGGTTAGTCAAAGGTTGGGTGGGGCCAATTTATGGACTAAAGAGGAAATCTTGTGGAGGCAGAGGGCACGGCTGATGTACTGAATGAGGACTTTACATCTGTCTTCACAAAAAAAGAGGATGCGGCCAATGCCACAGTATTGGAGGAGAGGGGAGAGAAATTGGATAAGAATAAACTGAGAGGAGGCACTAAAAAGGTTGTCAGTGCTCAAGGGTAGATAAGTCACCTGGTCCGGACAGGATACATCCTGAGGGTTACTGAGGGAAGTCAGGGTGGAAATAGCAGAGGCTCTGGCCACAATCTTTCAATCCTCCTTGGACACCGGGACGGTGCCAGAGGACTGGAGGGTTCAAATGTTACTCCCTGTACAAAAAGGGGCAAAGGATAAACCCGGGAACTACAGCCAGTGCCTAACGTCAGTAGTGGGGAAACTTCTAGAGACTATAATCCGAGACAATATACACTTTCACTGAGAAAAATATGGGTTAATAAAGGACAGTCAACACGGGTTTGTTAAAGGCAAATCGTGTCTAACAAACCTGATAGAGGTTTTTGATGCAGTAACGGAGAGGGCGGATGAAGGCAGTGCTGGTGATGTAGTTTATAGGGATTTTCAAAAGGAGTTTGACAAAGTGCCGCATAAGGGACTTGTAGCAAAATCGAAGCCCCCGGTATTAAAGGGACAGTGCAGCAGATACAGAACTGTCTGGGAGACAGAGAGCAGAGAGTGGTGGTGAACGGCTGTTTTTCTGACTGGAGGGCAGTGCAGTGGTGTCCCCCCGGGGTCGGTATTGGGGCCACTGCTGTTTGTGATCTATATAAATGACCTGGACTTGGGTATAGGGAGGACAATTCCCAAGTTTGCAGATGATACTAAGCGAGAAAAGGTAGTAAACAGTGAGGAGGATAGTAACAGACGGCAGGAGGACATAGACAGACTGGTAACATGGGCAGACACGGGGCAGATGAGGTTTAATGTGGAGAAAGGGGGTGAAGGGACAGAGAGACCTGGGGGTCATATAGTAAAGCTTTGAAGGTGGCGGACAGGCAGATAAAGCTGTTAAAAAGCATCCGGGACACGAGGCTTTATAAATAGGGGCATAGAATACACAAGTCAGGAAGTTATGATGAACCTTTATATAAAACACTGGTGGGGCCTCAGCGAGAGACTGTGTTCAGTTCTGGGCCCCACACTTTAGGAAGGATGTCAAGGCATTGGAGAGGGTGCAAAGGAGATTGACCAGGATGGTACCAGGAATGAGAGCCTTCAGTTATCAGGAGAGGCGAGAGAAGCCAGGATTATTCTCTTTAGAGTAAAGAAGGTTAAGAGGAGACTTACTAGATGTTTTAAAAATTCTGAGGGGATTCTAGGGTGAACAAGGAGAAACTATTCCCACTGGCGGGTGGGTCGGTAACCCGAGGGCTCCGATTTAAAATAGGGGGAGAAACAGAAGGGAGGAGAGGAGAAATGTGAGTTGTTGGGATCTGGAATGCATTGCCTGAAAGGCCGGTGGGAATCGATTCGATAACAACTTTTAAGAGAGAAGTAGATAATTATTTGAGGATGACAAGTTTGCAGCTCTATGGGGAGAGAGAGCGGGGGAGTGGGGTTGATCAAGGCTATGGGGAGAGAGGGGGGAGTGGGGTTGATCAGGGCTATAGGGAGAGGGGGGAGTGGGGTTGATCAGGGCTGTGGGGAGAGAGGGGGGAGTGGGGTTGATCAGGGCTATGGGGAGAGAGCGGGGAGTGGGGTTGATCAGGGCTATAGGGAGAGAGGGGGAGTGGGGTTGATCAGGGCTGGGGGAGAGGGGGGAGTGGGGTTGATCAGGGCTATGGGGAGAGAGTGGGGGAGTGGGGTTGATCAAGGCTATGGGGAGAGAGAGGGCGGGGGAGTGGGGTTGATCAGGGCTATGGGGAGAGAGAGGGGGAGTGGGGTTGATCAGGGCTATGGGGAGAGAGCGGGGGGACTGGGGTTGATTTGGAAGCTCTTTACACTGAGCAAAACACAGACACTTCTGTGCTGTATAATTCTATGATTCAATAAGAACTTTGATTATAGCACAGTGTCCTTCACTCGGGGCAGCATCCCGGAGCATTTGACAGTGACGGAAGGTGACACTGAGCCAGGTAGAGAGGGAGGAGGGAGGTGAGCGTAAGCATTATCAGAAAGAAAGGTCTACCCTCTGCATAAAGACGTTCATCCTAAACTCCCCGTTAGACCCCCTGCTATCTCGCTTTCTTGTATAGTCCTGTAACATAGTAGTTAGAGCGCTCACCTCATAAGTGAGAGGACCTGGATTTGATTCCTGAGCAAAGCACACTGTGGGTTCCCCACAAGTCTTGGCTCTTATCAACCTGTGCCTAATACTCTCTGGAATTAGGTAATCAGGGGGCGTCCCCCCTGGAAGAGAGAGAGAGAGAGAGAGAGAGAGTGCATTTCATTCCAACAATCTCTCTCTGGGATTTCCATGTGTGGGGGATGCAGGAAATTCTCAGTTGGGTTTTGGAGGCTCTTAAACACTGTGATGGATTTTCACATGTGTCAGACACCCGGCAAAAATAGAGTTGCTTGGAATTGGGTAACTCATAATCTACTCAGGAGCTATAATAATAATAATAATCCTGGCATTTGATACCGCGTCTTATCACATCTTTGAGACGCCTCAAAGCGCTTCACAGAATACACTGTAAAGTGAATTGACTGTATATTTTGGGCCAAAACGTGGCAGCAAATTGTGCACAGCAGCGTCACACAAACAGTCGTGCATTGAAGTGACCAAATTTATTATTGTTTTTTTTGAAGGATTATTATCAGACATGTTGAGTAAGAAAACTTTCTCAAGGTTTCGCTCTGACCTGCCGGGAATTGAACCCAGGTCTCTCGCTTTCGAGGCGAGTGCTCTAACCACTGAGCCTCAAGACTCCTTGAAAGGAAAGAAGTCCAGACTCTTCCTTCCTCATCACGTCCTTCCCTTGACATTGCCAATGTTTAGTTCCCAATGACAATGTCTGAGGGGTGCAAACAAGTTCACACACTGACAACACAGATCCACAGGTTTATGTACGGTGTTTATATATCGGACAGGGAGGAACTTTAGGTACGTTTCCTTACTCCACACGCCTCTGTTTATCTGGCAGTAAGTAGGAACCCAATTCTTAGTCAATTAATGGATCCCTTAAAAAATCACATACATGCATTACACACACACACACACAAATCCCCACACACAAACAAACAAGTAAATAAATAATGATAAATAAATAAGTTCTTGCATTTGATACGGTGACTTATCACATCTTCTGGACGTCTCAAAGCGCTTCATCGACTGTACTGTAAACTGAATTGACTGTATATGTTGTGGGTGAAAGGTGGCAGCTAATTGCACACAGCAGCGTCCCACAAACAGTCATGATTGTGAGACCACATTTTTTTGAAGGGATTATTACCCCCAGAAAGCGATCCGCCAATCAATTAATAAATGAGTTCCTACTTACCGCTGGTAAATAGGGGTGTGCGGAGTACTGGAGGTAGGGGGAGTGGGGAGGAGCAGGTTTCCCCCCTCCTCGCTCCCTCCCTTCCCTCCCCTCACCCTGACCATTTCCCCCCTCCTCGCTCCCTCCCTTCCCTCCCCTCACCCTGACCATTTCCCCCTCCTCGCTCCCTCCCTTCCCTCCTCTCACCCTGACCATTTCCCCCCTCCTCGCTCCCTCCCTTCCCCCTCACCCTGACCATTTCCCCCTCCTCGCTCCCTCCCTTCCCTCCCTGACCATTTCCCCCCTGCTCGGGTCATGACCCAACTGTGCAGCGCCTTGGGACGTCCTCCTGACGTGAAAGGCGCTTTATAAATGGAATCTTGTTGTTGTTGTTGTTGTCAGAGTGCCTCCAACCAAACCTTCCGTCTCCCTTTGTCTCTCCAGACTCCCAGACAATACACCGCTATGTGGCTCTCGACAGACCTGGTGTCCTGTGGCCTCATCTCTCTGATATTTGTGTTCAACTGGTGAGTGAGACAATCTCAGCTCAGTGTCACTGCACACAGGGAAGTCAGTCGGCCCATTGTACCTGTGCTAATCCCCTCCCCCCACGTGTACACTCCCCCACACTCCGCTCCCCTCCCCACCCTGTAAAAATAATAATAATCATAATAATCCTCGCATTTGATATAGCGCTTTTCACGTCGGGAGGACGTCCCAAAGCGCTTCACAGAATACACTGTAAAGTGAATTGACTGTATATTTGTGGGCGAACGCGGCAGCCAATTGCGCACAGCAATGTCCCACAAACAGTCGTAGATTGAAAATGACCAATTTATTATTGTGTTTGGGTTTGGAGGGATTATTATTAGGCTCTGTGTGGGGTAAGGAAACTTGCCCAAGGTTTCGCCCTCTGCCTGGAATTGAAGTCAGGTCTCTCACTTGCAAAGCGAGTGCTCTAACCACTGAGCTACAGGACTCGGGGCTGTAGTGGGGCTGTAGTGCCCCGAGACCCTACCCTGCATGAAGGCCGCTGTGTAAATGCAAGTTGTTGTTGTAGGTGGAGAGAGAATGGGTTTCTCTGCTGTCCCCACCAACAGATTTTAAGAAAGAACAGAAATGACGGTAATCTACAGACTGGTGAGTATAGATTTTTTTTTGGGGTGGGGGGCTGGGCTGGGGGTCAGGTAGGTATGTGACCCGCGTGGACACCCATCACAAATAGCCTTAAGATTCTTTGTCTTTGAATTTAAGATTGTGCAGAATTATTGGAAAATACTCAATCCCCATCACCCCAGCCCTCGCCCGGCCCCACTGGCTCCCTATCACACACACTAACCCCTGTACCCCATCACCCCAGCCCTCGCCCGGCCCCACTGGCTCCCTATCACACACACTAACCCCTGTACCCCATCACCCCAGCCCTCGCCGGCCCCACTGGCTCCCTATCACACACACTAACCCCTGTACCCCATCACCCCAGCCCTCGCCCGGCCCCACTGGCTCCCTATCACACACACTCACCCCTGTACCCCATCACCCCAGCCCTCGCCGGCCCCACGGCTCCCTGTCACACACACTAACCCCTGTACCCCATCACCCCGGCCCTCGCCGGCCCCCCACTGGCTCCCTATCACACACACTAACCCCTGTACCCCATCACCCCAGCCCTCGCCCGGCCCCACTGGCTCCCTATCACACACACTAACCCCTGTACCCCATCACCCCAGCCCTCGCCCGGCCCCACTGGCTCCCTATCACACACACTAACCCCTGTACCCCATCACCCCAGCCCTCGCCGGCCCCACTGGCTCCCTATCACACACACTAACCCCTGTACCCCATCACCCCAGCCCTCGCCCGGCCCCACTGGCTCCCTATCACACACACTAACCCCTGTACCCCATCACCCCAGCCCTCGCCCGCCCCACTGGCTCCCTATCACACACACTAACCCCTGTACCCCATCACCCCAGCCCTCGCCCCCCACTGGCTCCCTATCACACACACTAACCCCTGTACCCCATCACCCCAGCCCTCGCCCGGCCCCACTGGCTCCCTATCACACACACTAACCCCTGTACCCCATCACCCCAGCCCTCGCCCGGCCCCACTGGCTCCCTATCACACACACTAACCCCTGTACCCCATCACCCCAGCCCTCGCCCGGCCCCACTGGCTCCCTATCACACACACTAACCCCTGTACCCCATCACCCCAGCCCTCGCCCGGCCCCACTGGCTCCCTATCACACACACTAACCCCTGTACCCCATCACCCCAGCCCTCGCCGGCCCCACTGGCTCCCTATCACACACACTAACCCCTGTACCCCATCACCCCAGCCCTCGCCCGGCCCCACTGGCTCCCTATCACACACACTAACCCCTGTACCCCATCACCCCAGCCCTCGCCCGGCCCCACTGGCTCCCTATCACACACACTAACCCCTGTACCCCATCACCCCAGCCCTCGCCCGGCCCCACTGGCTCCCTATCACACACACTAACCCCTGTACCCCATCACCCCAGCCCTCGCCCGGCCCCACTGGCTCCCTATCACACACACTAACCCCTGTACCCCATCACCCCAGCCCTCGCCCGGCCCCACTGGCTCCCTATCACACACACTAACCCCTGTACCCCATCACCCCAGCCCTCGCCCGGCCCCACTGGCTCCCTATCACACACACTAACCCCTGTACCCCATCACCCCAGCCCTCGCCCGGCCCCACTGGCTCCCTATCACACACACTAACCCCTGTACCCCATCACCCCAGCCCTCGCCCGGCCCCACTGGCTCCCTATCACACACACTAACCCCTGTACCCCATCACCCCAGCCCTCGCCCGGCCCCACTGGCTCCCTATCACACACACTAACCCCTGTACCCCATCACCCCAGCCCTCGCCCGGCCCCACTGGCTCCCTATCACACACACTAACCCCTGTACCCCATCACCCCAGCCCTCGCCCGGCCCCACTGGCTCCCTATCACACACACTAACCCCTGTACCCCATCACCCCAGCCCTCGCCCGGCCCCACTGGCTCCCTATCACACACACTAACCCCTGTACCCCATCACCCCAGCCCTCGCCCGGCCCCACTGGCTCCCTATCACACACACTAACCCCTGTACCCCATCACCCCAGCCCTCGCCCGGCCCCACTGGCTCCCTATCACACACACTAACCCCTGTACCCCATCACCCCAGCCCTCGCCCGGCCCCACTGGCTCCCTATCACACACACTAACCCCTGTACCCCATCACCCCAGCCCTCGCCCGGCCCCACTGGCTCCCTATCACACACACTAACCCCTGTACCCCATCACCCCAGCCCTCGCCCGGCCCCACTGGCTCCCTATCACACACACTAACCCCTGTACCCCATCACCCCAGCCCTCGCCCGGCCCCACTGGCTCCCTATCACACACACTAACCCCTGTACCCCATCACCCCAGCCCTCGCCCGGCCCCACTGGCTCCCTATCACACACACTAACCCCTGTACCCCATCACCCCAGCCCTCGCCCGGCCCCACTGGCTCCCTATCACACACACTAACCCCTGTACCCCATCACCCCAGCCCTCGCCCGGCCCCACTGGCTCCCTATCACACACACTAACCCCTGTACCCCATCACCCCAGCCCTCGCCCGGCCCCACTGGCTCCCTATCACACACACTAACCCCTGTACCCCATCACCCCAGCCCTCGCCCGGCCCCACTGGCTCCCTATCACACACACTAACCCCTGTACCCCATCACCCCAGCCCTCGCCCGGCCCCACTGGCTCCCTATCACACACACTAACCCCTGTACCCCATCACCCCAGCCCTCGCCCGGCCCCACTGGCTCCCTATCACACACACTAACCCCTGTACCCCATCACCCCAGCCCTCGCCCGGCCCCACTGGCTCCCTATCACACACACTAACCCCTGTACCCCATCACCCCAGCCCTCGCCCGGCCCCACTGGCTCCCTATCACACACACTAACCCCTGTACCCCATCACCCCAGCCCTCGCCCGGCCCCACTGGCTCCCTATCACACACACTAACCCCTGTACCCCATCACCCCAGCCCTCGCCCGGCCCCACTGGCTCCCTATCACACACACTAACCCCTGTACCCCATCACCCCAGCCCTCGCCCGGCCCCACTGGCTCCCTATCACACACACTAACCCCTGTACCCCATCACCCCAGCCCTCGCCCGGCCCCACTGGCTCCCTATCACACACACTAACCCCTGTACCCCATCACCCCAGCCCTCGCCCGGCCCCACTGGCTCCCTATCACACACACTAACCCCTGTACCCCATCACCCCAGCCCTCGCCCGGCCCCACTGGCTCCCTATCACACACACTAACCCCTGTACCCCATCACCCCAGCCCTCGCCCGCCCCACTGGCTCCCTATCACACACACTAACCCCTGTACCCCATCACCCCAGCCCTCGCCCGGCCCCACTGGCTCCCTATCACACACACTAACCCCTGTACCCCATCACCCCAGCCCTCGCCCGGCCCCACTGGCTCCCTATCACACACACTAACCCCTGTACCCCATCACCCCAGCCCTCGCCCGGCCCCACTGGCTCCCTATCACACACACTAACCCCTGTACCCCATCACCCCAGCCCTCGCCCGGCCCCACTGGCTCCCTATCACACACACTAACCCCTGTACCCCATCACCCCAGCCCTCGCCCGGCCCCACTGGCTCCCTATCACACACACTAACCCCTGTACCCCATCACCCCAGCCCTCGCCCGGCCCCACTGGCTCCCTATCACACACACTAACCCCTGTACCCCATCACCCCAGCCCTCGCCCGGCCCCACTGGCTCCCTATCACACACACTAACCCCTGTACCCCATCACCCCAGCCCTCGCCCGGCCCCACTGGCTCCCTATCACACACACTAACCCCTGTACCCCATCACCCCAGCCCTCGCCCGGCCCCACTGGCTCCCTATCACACACACTAACCCCTGTACCCCATCACCCCAGCCCTCGCCCGGCCCCACTGGCTCCCTATCACACACACTAACCCCTGTACCCCATCACCCCAGCCCTCGCCCGGCCCCACTGGCTCCCTATCACACACACTAACCCCTGTACCCCATCACCCCAGCCCTCGCCCGGCCCCACTGGCTCCCTATCACACACACTAACCCCTGTACCCCATCACCCCAGCCCTCGCCCGGCCCCACTGGCTCCCTATCACACACACTAACCCCTGTACCCCATCACCCCAGCCCTCGCCCGGCCCCACTGGCTCCCTATCACACACACTAACCCCTGTACCCCATCACCCCAGCCCTCGCCCGGCCCCACTGGCTCCCTATCACACACACTAACCCCTGTACCCCATCACCCCAGCCCTCGCCCGGCCCCACTGGCTCCCTATCACACACACTAACCCCTGTACCCCATCACCCCAGCCCTCGCCCGGCCCCACTGGCTCCCTATCACACACACTAACCCCTGTACCCCATCACCCCAGCCCTCGCCCGGCCCCACTGGCTCCCTATCACACACACTAACCCCTGTACCCCATCACCCCAGCCCTCGCCCGGCCCCACTGGCTCCCTATCACACACACTAACCCCTGTACCCCATCACCCCAGCCCTCGCCCGGCCCCACTGGCTCCCTATCACACACACTAACCCCTGTACCCCATCACCCCAGCCCTCGCCCGGCCCCACTGGCTCCCTATCACACACACTAACCCCTGTACCCCATCACCCCAGCCCTCGCCGGCCCCACTGGCTCCCTATCACACACACTAACCCCTGTACCCCATCACCCCAGCCCTCGCCCGGCCCCACTGGCTCCCTATCACACACACTAACCCCTGTACCCCATCACCCCAGCCCTCGCCCGGCCCCACTGGCTCCCTATCACACACACTAACCCCTGTACCCCATCACCCCAGCCCTCGCCGGCCCCACTGGCTCCCTATCACACACACTAACCCCTGTACCCCATCACCCCAGCCCTCGCCCGGCCCCACTGGCTCCCTATCACACACACTAACCCCTGTACCCCATCACCCCAGCCCTCGCCCGGCCCCACTGGCTCCCTATCACACACACTAACCCCTGTACCCCATCACCCCAGCCCTCGCCCGGCCCCACTGGCTCCCTATCACACACACTAACCCCTGTACCCCATCACCCCAGCCCTCGCCCGGCCCACTGGCTCCCTATCACACACACTAACCCCTGTACCCCATCACCCAGCCCTCGCCCGGCCCCACTGGCTCCCTATCACACACACTAACCCCTGTACCCCATCACCCCAGCCCTCGCCCGGCCCCACTGGCTCCCTATCACACACACTAACCCCTGTACCCCATCACCCCAGCCCTCGCCCGGCCCCACTGGCTCCCTATCACACACACTAACCCCTGTACCCCATCACCCCAGCCCTCGCCGGCCCCACTGGCTCCCTATCACACACACTAACCCCTGTACCCCATCACCCCAGCCCTCGCCCGGCCCCACTGGCTCCCTATCACACACACTAACCCCTGTACCCCATCACCCCAGCCCTCGCCAGATCTTCTTACTCGTTTTCAAATCCCTTCATTTCCTCGCACCTCCCTCCCTCTCCCACCTGCTCACCCCTCCACTCCCCCACCCGCTGCCTCCGCTCGGCTGGCTCCGGCCTCCTGTTTATCCCTCGTCCCCTCAGCTCTACCATCGGTGGCCCTGCCTTCAGCCATTACACCCAGAAAGGTGGTGGGTGGAGGATTTCTCCGGTCCTGTCACACGTCTCAAAGCGCTTCAAAGAATATACTGTAAAGTGAATTGACTGTGAATTTTGTGGGCGAAACGCGGCAGCGAATCACTGTAAAGGAGGAACACAGTCTACACTTCTCAAAGGTAGTCTCTCATCCCACACTTCAACCTCACCCACAAAACACACTTTACAGTATTTTCTGTGAAGCGCTTTGAGACGTCTCTACGACGGGAATCAATACCGAATGCAAAGATTATTATTATTACTTTCCTTCGTGTTCCCAGAATTCTCCGTGCGGCCAATCACCGGGAGAATAGCGCCAGGAGAAGCCCAGAGCAACACCATCACCATGTAACAGGGACAGAGCAACACCCTCACCGACTGCCCTTCCCAAAGGTTAAAGGCAATCGCTGTCTCACAGCCTGACATACGTTTGCTGACAACACCACCAGTGGAGGCCTGTAACTCAGAGGTTAGAGCTCTCGCCTCGCCAGCCAGAGGCTTCCCGGGCAGGGAGAAACCATAGATTCCTTACTCCACGCACCTCTTTACCAGCAGTGAGTAGGAACCCCGTTGTCAGTCGATTGATGAATTGTTTTTCCGGAGGTAATAACCCGTCCAAAACAATAAATAATAAAAATAATATTGTCAATTTGTTTTGAGGGATTATTAACCCTAGAAAGCGATCTGCCAATCGACTAACAAGAATAACTTACATCTGGGTTCCTACTTATTGCTGGTAAACAGAGGTGTGTGGAAGGATGGACACTTGCCTAAGGTTTCACCCTTCTGGGAATCGAAGCCGGGTCCTCTCACTTGCAAGGTGTGCGCTCTAACCACTACACCAGGTCTCCTGCTGACCAGGACACCGGGAGAGAGAAACTCCCTTGTGATGCTGTGAGATCTTTTACCATCTCTGGGACGCTATCCTGTATGAAGGATACCATATAAATGCAAGCTGTTGTTGTCCACCCGACAGGGCATAGACAGGATGGCAGTGTTACATCTCAGGTACCCATGAGATTCCGGTGTGAGCGGTGATCTTCCTGATCACACAGGGAGGAGATGTTACTCTGGGCTTTAGTGTGTTGGCCGAGAGGGAACTATCAGTCTGGGACACGTAGAGGAGGAAGGAACTGCACATGGACATGTTCCTTTAAATAAAACAAGGTCCTGATTATCTAATCACCAGATCGTAGAATCTTATAGTAACTGTGGATCACGAACAACACTGCTTCTCTGAAATAATCTGTGTTAGAAAATACAAATAAGAGACGCACGCTCAAATGGATTATATTGTTTTTTTTAATACTCAGAATCCCAATAGGTTAATACACTCAGCCAATTGCTACTCATACATATAAGGTTACATAAGACTATATACTTGTATACACATAATCAAACCACACCACCAAGTTCTAGTTCTAGTTGGTTGTTTCAGGTTTTCCAGCTTTCAATCTTCTGTCTTAAGCAAAGCGGTTCCAGGTCTTCCAATCTTCTTTCTGGCCGGCAGACTGCTGCGGCCTTCCTTCTTCTTTTCCAAAGTGTTTCAACGGGGTCTTTTATACCCCCTTTCATCCAATCATTTGTCAAACCTTGAGCCATATAACCAGGTCACCAAGGTCTCAAAAACATCTCAGGATGTGTAGTGCAGGGCCCCACATCTTGTTTTCGTAAACCCCCTCCATTTTGTATTAAAACTGCGAATCTCAACATCTGTCCTCTGGCACTTCCCTCCCTCACCCCCCCCCCCCCCCCCGCACACATACACCCCCGTACACACACACACCCCTCCACACATAATCCCCCATACACACACCCCCACGCACACATACACCCCCGTACACACACACCCCTCCACACACACTCCCCTATACACACACACCCCTACACACATAATCCCCCATACACACACCCCCCCGCACACAAACACTTTTAGATTTGTTTAATATTTGCCTCATTAAATACTTTAGTAATAATCCTTACAATGATACAATTCCACATTCTGGAAAGATGTCCCAAAGCGCTATTATTCCGAGGATAATAATCCCTTCAAAAAAAATTAAAAATTTGAACACTCGATCCACGACTGTTTGTCAGACACCAGGAAGTATTCCTTTACCCAGAGGGCAATTAATGACTCGAATGGGGGTTGAAGCCTGGACCCTGGGACTCGTTTATAAAGCAACTCAATGCGGTGTCAATGTTCAGTGGTTAGACACTCAGCTCACAAGTGAGAGACCTGGGTTTGATTCCCGGCAGGTCAGGGTGAAACCTTGAGCAAGTTTTCTTGCTCTACACGTCCTGATAATAATCTTTCAAAAAAAAAAAAAAAATTGGTCACCTCAACCCACACCTGTTTGTGGGACAGACGCTGCTGCGTTTCATGCACAATATACAGTCAATTCACTTTACAGTGTATCCTGTGAAACGCTTTGAGACATCTCGAAGACGTGATGAGGCTCTGTATGAAAGGATTATTATTAGCATTATATAATGCAGTGATGGGGGGAGGGTGGGTGAGGTTAGATTGGCCAAAGGGCTTTTTTCATGCCGATCGATCTTGTGATGCGCTGCGTGGTAGTTTGGTGCTGTGCATTTTGTAGATGACTGCGGCAACCAGTTTTGCACACAGCAACGTCCCACAAAAAGCCTTAAGTGAGTGACCAATTTTATTTGGGGGATTGTTGGCCTCGGTTTAACGTCTCACTCAAAGGATGTTTCCTCTGACATTCCCAGTACATTCCCAGCATCGATGTGTCAGCCCAGACTGTCAGTTCAAAATTCCAACGTGTGGACCCCATGACCTACTGACTCGGATGTGAGGTTCCTCCCGACTGAGACTGGCTGACACCAGACTGAGCAGTGCGTTAATGGAGTCTTGTAGCTCAGTGGTTGGAGCACAAGCGACAGGACCCAGGTTCAAATCCTAGGCAGGTTGCTAACTTAGGCAAGGTTCTTGCTCCACACGCCTCTGTTTACCAGCAGTAAGTAGGAACATAGTTGTTAATCGATTGGCGGGTCACTTTTCCTGGGGTAATAATTCCTACAAAAAAATGAATAAAATAATAAATTGGTCACTCAATCCATGAATGCTTGTGGGACGCTGCCCTGCACAATTGGCTGCCACGTTTCACCCACAAACTATAACAACAACAACTTGGATTTATATAGTGCCCTCCACACCAGACGGCGTATGTAGTCAAATATAGAAATATAGTCAATTCGCATTACACTATATTCTGTGAAGCGCTTTGAGACATTTAGAAGATGTGATAAGGCGCTGTATCAAATGCCAGGATTATTTATCCACACTTGCTTTGAAGGGGGAGCAAATACATATTAAAGAGGGATAAGTGATGAGTATGGGGGAAACGGGTGAGCGGGTAAATGGGATATAGTGTTCCAGATGGCCCTCCTCCTGTGCTGTGGAATTTTTATGGACCTATGATCTTGTAATGAAGACAGAGAGGGTTGAAGGCTCAAGTTTGAAGACTTCAGCCATGGTGATGGTTTCTGTAGTTGTCAGACTAAATAATGGCCACGTTGTGCTTTGGAATTGGTGTAACACTGCCCCCCTCCGGCTACAACTAGAAACCGCAGCACTGGACCGCACCAAACTCTGCTTTCTCATGAGCTGTGGCCTTCACACGCCCTCTGTTCGTCCGGCCGGTTAGTGACCAGGGCCATTGGCAAACCAATAACATTCCTATCTCAATCCTGTTAAAATGGGAGTCCCAGAGTGCTAGCGACGTGGAGTTCTGTAGCTCACTGGTTAGAGGACGTGCCTCGCAAGCGAGAGGACACGGGTTCGATCCCGGGCCAGACAAAATGTTGGGCAAGTTTAGTTACTCCAAACGCCTCAAGTGAGTAGGAACCCAATTATTACTCAATTTTCGGATTGCTTTCCGGGGAGTAATAATCTCTCCCAACAATAAATGAATAAAAATAATAATTTGGACACTCGATCCTTGATTGCAAGCTCGCTTCCCGCTATCCTTTGCGAGCTTGCTCTCTCCGAATACACCCCCTTCCTCCTACACACTCAACTGACATAAAAAAGGCATCACACACACAATCACATCAGCCGCCATCTGCCATTTATTCACTAATCAAAACACAATTTATTTCAATTTGTTTTTCCCAAAAAAAAATTCATGCGTTGCAAAGTGGACAATGAACGTCACTGGGTTCTGACCTCCCCTCCTCCCACACTCTCTCTCTCCCCATCCACACAATTCTATCAACCCCTCCCCCTGAAAAAACACTCCCATTGTCCCCGACTGTCAAAGGACATCCATCGTTCAATCTGTCCGGTTAACTTGGCAACTAGGAATAGCTCTCTCTCCCCCACACATCAAACACTTCCTGGAACAATGAGGAGAGAGTGGAATTGACAATCAAGCCAATTTTCCCTCAAAGTCGTGTGGGGGGGGGGGGGGGGTAGAGAGAAGAGGATAAAGAGACCCAACTGTGTATTTTTGTGCCTCTCTCTCTCTAGCCCCCACCCCCACCTTAGAGGCATGATGATGCTAGCGAATAAATAATAAATTGAAGATTGGGTCTGGTCTTGGGGGCCGAGAGAATCTAGAGAAAAATGGCCAACACTGAATGGGGGTGGGGAGGGGGGAAAATAGCTGATACTGGGTTTTGGGGGGAAAAAAATAACCGACACTGGGTTCATTCTCCCTCTCTCCACCACCCATCCCAATTATCAATGCAGGCAGGATCTCCAGGATGGACAAGGATAAGATAAGAGCGAGACTCCCCCCGAAACATCTCACTGTAAAAACATTCAATAAATAACTATTTACAGACAGGTTGGACAATTGGAAGTATCTTACGAAGGCGGTGCTGTGACTTGTGGGGAGGGGGAAGGAAGCATCGAGAGTAAGACAAACCCCATAAGACCTCCCCACCCCTCGATGCCCCTCTGCCCGTGTTGCAACCCATGGCGTGGGTCCCCTTTAAGACAGATGAGTCATTGGCTTTGATTGACAGGTCCATTGGTCAATCAGATATGAGGGCGGGTGCCAGAGAGTGGGTGGGCTCCACCCAATGAGTTGGGAGTGGGTGGTGGGGGGGGGTGGCAAGGAGGTTCCTCGGAGTTGGGGCTACTCAGAGGCCTGGCTGTGGTCCTCCTCAGGGCTCTCCCCCTCCCAACTCCCCTTAAAGGGGCAACAACAAATAGATACGTGGTGGGGGGCTTTAGCCATAGCAACCCACCATCTATATGGGGGAGAGAGGGGAGAAGGAGGGGTGATGATGGGGGAAATCGGGGTTGTTACCCGAAGGCAGTGATAAGTCATCCAAACAGAAGCTGCACCTCAAATTGTTTTGCATTGTCAAGTCAGGAACATTCAATAATAATAGGAACAATTCCGGCATTTGACACAGAGCCTCATCACGTCTTCGAGACGTCTCAAAGTCCTTCACAGGATACACTGTAAAGTGAATTGACTGTGTATTTTGTGGTTGAAACGTAGCAGCCAATTGGGCACAGCAGCGTCTGTCCCACAAACAGCCGTGGGTTGAGTGACCAATTATTATTTTTAATTTTAGTCATAGATAAACAGAAGATGGGGGTAGCTCAGCGGGTAGAGCACTTGCTTTGTAAGCGAGTAACCTGGGTTTTTCTAACCCGGGTTTGATTCCCGGGCAGGTCAGGGCGAAAGATTGGGCAAGTTTCCTTACTCCACACGCCTCTGTTTACAGCAAACAGGAACCCGGCTGTCAGTCAATTGGTGGATCACTTTTCTGGGGATAATAATCCCTTCAAAAAAAAAAAGAATTTGGTCACTCAACCCACGGCTGTTTGTGGGACATTGCTGTGCGCAATTGGCTGCCGCGTTCGCCCACAAATATACAGTCAATTCACTTTACAGTGTATCCTGTGAAGCGCTTTGAGACGTCCTGAGAGGTGATGAGGCTCTGTATCAAATGCCGCGATTAAAACAGCTATAATCACGTGACCACGGGGGGTTAGTGGGGGGGTTTGGGGAGATGCGGTGGGTGGTGGGGGGCTCGTGATATGTTGTCTGGCTCAGCTCGATGGCCAGAGAGAGGATCATCTCTATTCCCTCCGAGAGGGATAAATGGGGCAAATTTGGGGAGCAGAGAGAGTGGGGGAGCAGGACAGGGGAAGAATGGAGAAAGGAAGTGAGGGAAGAGAGAAGATAGGTGGAGGAGAGAGAGAGAGAGGAGGGGAAGAGAGGAGAGAGAGCGAGGAGTGAGGGAGCGAGAGTAGGGAAGGGAATAGAGATGAAAGCAAGGGAGAGGGGAAGAGGAGAGAGGGAGGGAGGGAGAGGGAGGGAGGGAGAGGAGAGAGGGAGCTAAAGGGAGGGAAGAGAGTGAGAGGAGTCTCTGTACCGAGGAGCCAGTGTTAGTGGCCGGGTATCTTGGGAAGGAGATGGGGAGAGCGTTGGGAGATTTTCTCTCTCTCCCTCTTTACACACAAACAAACACACACTCACAGAGACCCACTTCCTCCCCAAAGCCATGTCACAAATAGTCGTCTTGGCTGGAGGTGGAGCTGCTGCTGCTGCTGCCTCTGCCGGGGGAAGGTTCCGGAAGGCTCGGCGGGCCTGCCCAGGCCTGGGCGGAGAAGGTGGCGTTCCAGGCGCAGGGGTTGCCCACGGGCCGCAGGAGGTGGAGGAGGTGGAAGGCCCTGAGCCAGTCCGCGGAGGACCTTCACTTGGTGGCCTTGGCTGTCCTCTGCTTACTCATCGACGTCAACATCTGGCTGATGTAGGAGGTCAACAGGTCATCCATTTTGTATCCCTACATGAGGAGCAGAATGATAGACTATTACAGCACAGAGGCTGGTACCAGCTTCCTCTCCTCCAGCAGCACCTTTCACGTCTGGAGGACCTGCCAAAGAGCTTCACATAATTTACTGTAAAGTGTAGTGACTGTTTTACGTAAGCAAAACGTGGAAGCCCATTTGTGCACAGCTGTGTCCTCACAAACTGGGGGCCAATTGGGGGTCGGTCCAATCTTACAGAATCATAGAATCTTCCAGCACAGAAGGAGGCCATTCGGCCCATCGTGCCTGTGCGGCTCTGTGAAACAGCTATGAACTATTCCCCCTCTCCCCGCTTTTACCTCAACTAATTCCCCCCCCACCCACCGCCGCGTTTACCCCAACTAGTCCCACTCCCCCTGCTCTGACCCAATAGCTGCAAGTTTTTATTTTTATAGTTCCTGTCCAATCCCATTTTGAAAGTTGTTATTGAATCTGATCCCTCCGCCCTGTGAGGCCGTGTCCGGCCCCAACAACGCTCTGTGTGAAACAGTTCTCATCTCCTCTCCGGTACCGAAGGAGAGAGAAAGAGAGAGAGACTGAGACACACTCAAACCCGTCGCTGTGCTTCAGAGTTCACTGCCTCCAGCTCTGGTCAGTGAGGCCATGCAGAGGAGAGCAGTGAGGCTGATCCCTCGGGTTAGAGGCAGCGATCAGACAGTCCAGGGCTCTTCAGTCGTAATAATAATAATCCTGGGATTTGATACAGCGCCTCATCACGTCTTCGAGACGCCTCAAAGCGCTTCACAGGATACACTGTGAAGTGAATTGACTATAAACACAGCAGCTAATCGTGCACAGCAGCGTCCACAAACAGCGTCCCACAAACAGCGTCCCACAAACAGCGTCCACAAACAGCGTCCCACATACAGCGTCCCACAAACAGCGTCCCACAAACAGCGTCCCACATACAGCGTCCCACAAACAGCGTCCCACAAACAGCGTCCACAAACAGCGTCCACAAACAGCGTCCCACAAACAGCGTCCCACAAACAGCGTCCCACAAACAGCGAAACAGCGTCCCACAAACAGCGTCCACAAACAGCGTCCACAAACAGCGTCCACAAACAGTCGTGGGTTGAGAGACCAAATTATTTTTTTAATTAATTTTTTGAAAGGTTTATTATACCCGGAAAGCGATCCACCAATCAACTGACAACCGGATTCCTACTTACTGCTGTTAACAGGCGCGTGTGTGGAGTAAGGAAACTTGCCCAGGTCTCTCGATCGCAAGGCGAGTGCTCTAACCATACAGGACTGCTTCCCCTCCCTCCCCTCACCCCAGTGTACAGACGCTGCCGTTACCAGTGAGGTTTCACACAGGAGTTTGCTGCCTCTCACTAGGTTCCCGATGGTGATGTGGAAATAGGTGTTGCCGCTGCTCCAGTTGGAAATCTTGGTGAACGGGTGAGTAGTGAGAATATCCTGCAGCAGGAAAACAGTCGGCAAAGTAACCAGGTCAGTCAGGAGGGGAGACACCCTGAAACACAGCTAATCCAGGGAGAGGCATGGACAAGTCAAAGAGATTTGATGTTACCTTTGTCTTTGGGTCAATCAGACTGACGCCGTGTTTGTTGATGACGATTAGAAGGATCTCGGGGTAGTTTGGCTCTGTGGTTTGCTGGGGGAGGGGGAAGAGGCGGTTGGGGGGGAGGGGGAAGAGAGGGGGAGGAAGAGAAAAGGAGAAAAAAAGGCACGAAAAGTTGTTACTACATTAGAAAGAGGATCCATAGAAACATAGAAACAGGAGGAGGCCATTCAGCCCCTTGAGCCTGTTCCCCCATTCTGTAAGGTCATGGCTGATCTGTACCTCCACTCCAATTACCCGCCTTTGCCCCATATCCCCTGATCCCCTGACCTGACAAACATCTCTCCCCCTCAGTCTGGACAATGTGAATGGATCCAACAGAATCCACAGCCTTTTGGGGAGAGACTGAAGTGAGGCCACAGTTAGTTGGGCTCACAGACAAGACAGGACAGTGCTGGGGAGAAGGTCCCATTTTACATGGATTGCAGGAGTGTGCACACGCGGGCCATGTGTGGCATGGAGTGCATGTATGCACACACATCAGGGAGTGCACACATATATACACACACACAGACACACACGCACACACCAACCACGCAATAACAACTTGCATCCTTCACGTAGGCAGCTTCTCGGAGTTCATACACCACACACACACACAGACACACAACACGCACACACCATACACCACACCACACACACACATACACCACAAACATACACACACACCACACACACGTACCATACACCACACACACACAGTAACAGATTACATTTGCACGGCGTCTTTCATGTCGAGAGGACGTCCCAAGGTGCTGGACAGTCAGGGATTTGGTCCTGAGCTGGGGGTTGGGACCAGGAGGGGTGGAGGGCAGGGAGGGTGGGTTAAGGGAATGACTGAAGGCATCGTGGAAGAGGAGGCCTTGAAGGGGTGAGGGAGGTAGTGAGGATGGAGAGCCAGAGATTAGAGCAGAGAGGCTGAAGGTCTGACCTCACACACACTCAGACACTTACCTTCACCTCAAAGAAAGCGGATCCGAACGTGGGCCACTTGTAGATGATCTTCAGGAAGGTGAGCTTGGCTTCCTCCCGCGACTTCCCCGCCTGTTTGTTATAATAGGCCACCACAGACTGGGCAGCGAGACATCACCATCAGCAACACCGGACATCAGACACCTGCTTCACTAAGCCCTGCATCTCACACAGAGCCCCATCACCTTATCTCCCTCAATCTCTCTGCCTTGCCCCCTCCCTCCCCACCTTCAAATCCTGCCTAAAGACCATCCTTTCTGATCGGGCTTACGGTCATCTCCTCCCTCCCTCTGGGTCAGACTCCACCACTGTCAAGCGCTCTCGGACACTGCCCCATGTGACGGGCGCTGTGTAAATGCAATTTGTTGTTGTTGAGATAATAATAATCCTGGCATTTGACACAAGGTCTTATCATGTCCTCGAGACGTCTCAAAGCGCTTCACAGGATACATTGTAAAGTGAATTGACTGTATATTTATGGGCAAAACACGGCAGCAAATTGCACACAACAACGCCACACAAACAGCCGGGGATTAGTGAACAACTTATTATTATTTGTTTTCAAGGGATTATTATCCCCGGAAAACGATCCCCCAATCAACTAACAACCGGGTTCCCACTCACTGCTGTAAACAGAGGTGTGTGGAGTAAGGAAACTTGCCTAAGGGTTTGCTCTGCCCGGGAATCAAACCCGGGTCCTCTCGCTTGCGAGGCGAGTGTCTAACCCCTGAGCTACAGGACAGAATTAATTAATTCATAAATGAATTAAGAAATCTGACAGAATTTCACACAGTAAAGATTCTCACCCGTTTCCAGTCGTCTGGGGACAGCTGCCGGATGAGATCCTGGGGCACCAGCTCCTTCAGGATTTTGGGAATGCTGGGGAAGTGGGACTTGTCATCCTCAAACTTGACTCTGTAGATGAGTGCGGCCAACTGCAGCACCTCATCCCGCGAGCACTTGTGGTAACCTCGCAGGTATTTGGGCAGCTCCTGAGGAGAGAGAGAGAGAGAGATGAGAGATAGGAGAGAGAATAGAGAGAGAGGATAGAAAGAGGATAGAGAGAGGATAGAGGGAGATACAGAGAGAGAGAGAGAATGGTGAGAGGATAGAGAGAGAGGAGAGAGAAAGAGGATAGAGAGTGAGGATAGAGAGAAAAAGAATAGAGTGAGAGAGAGGATAGAAAGGATAGACAGGATAGAGG